CTTTTTGTTCCGCCTCTGATTGGGTTCTCTTCCTAGCCAGATGCAATGTTAGAGAAGCATGACTAAATCCTTTAGCTTTGTAGTGTACATTGAGTGGATTCAGTTGGCTGAAATTACTGGAGACAATTTACTTCTCAGAAGCATAAAATATTCTACTCTATAATGGAAAGATTTGCTGGGCAGACTCATACCACTGAAATGTAAACATTTCAGTATATGATCATAGCAATGTATCTTTCCATCTGAGCAGATCACATCTGTCTGATCACAGCAGACAGGCCTGTTTTCTCTTTTTAAAAATGTCTAGGTTCTGTAGGAGTTCTTCAGAAATCACTTAAATGCCATTTCAACTATTGCCACCCAATCAGAGTGTTAAAAGAACCGAGATATCGGAAGGTTGCATGAGAAAACCTTCCCTATGCATAAAACTCCTCCTTCCTGAAATAGCAATGCTAATGCCTGATCTTTCAAATCACTGGATATTTGTATTGTATCTTTACTTCCCTTAAAGTAGTTTGGTTTTTTGGTAGCAGTTATTGGTCAGGAAGGTGACACCATGGTAGGTAGGTGTCATATCATAGATGATGAAAGCTCCTGTAATAAAGACAAAGTGAAAAGTCATCTGAATTTTTATGTAATGTATTTTCTCATTTTTACTTAAATTAGGTTATTTCACCATTTATATCTCCCTTAAAACATTATTTAGGTACTAACACAGAAACATAAGCAGCACTAAGTAACACTAAGAAACAGAACACTGTACACATATGTGAAGAAGTTCTCATTCTGCACTGCTGAGCTTAAAACAGTTAAGATACCCCCTCAGGTTGCACATTTTCTGTAGAGAGAGGTTTAAAGAACAGACCTTCTTACAAGGGATATTTCTAATAGATTTCTGCTAACCAGATCAAGCTGTGTTGTGTTTTGGCAAAAAACAGACTCACTCATACAAATGACAAGTTATTTTTCGAGAGTACAAGCAGCCATTGCTGCTGCTCTGAGAATTATTCTCACAATAGAAAGGCAGATATTTAGTACATGAACAGCATTCATATTTGCTCAGTATTGCTTAATTTTAGTGGGTTTATTGGAAAAGGACTCTGAGAGGTAGAAGGAGTCATCAAATCCACTTTAATTTTTTTCATTCTCTAGAGTACATATTGATATAATCTTCATTGAGTAACAAAGATTATTCAACTGGCTTAGCTAAAGTTTTACAGTCTGTTCAGATATGCAATTGATTTACTGATTTATGTGAGTCCTTAAGCTCTGTGTGAATTGAGAGTCATTAATTCACCAGTGAAGGATGACAACTAAGCAAGTGACCTTTTGACATCATAGGTGGGAAGAGCTTCTGAGGGATAAAATGAAATTAGGTGAGTGGTCTGATAGTAGAAACTGATTTGGCTTTCAACATGCTGTAGGTGTGATCTGAAAAAAAGTTGTTTCAGTTAGCTCAGATCCTTCCTTGTATTCTTTCAGAATGATTGATTGTAGTATGCTATAGTCAATGAAACGACATTGGCAGATTCAGAAATATTTAGTAGTATGTGTAAAGAAATCTTCTTTGGACAAAAAAAATTTATTGATATGACACATGCAGCTTTTTTTTTCCCCTAGTTCATCTTGAAAGTTGCTTATGAAGGATTCATGTTACTTATGGCAGATTGTAATAAGTGAAGATAGCTTTTTCCCCCCATTTTTATTACTTTGTTCAGGAAAGTACATCTGAACAGTAATTAACAGCTTGGTTGTGTAATCCATATAGCCTCTTGACAGATTACTATCTTGCTTCAAATTTACTTAAACTGTGTCAGCTGCTAAGGATTTTACCTACTGAGGAGTTCTTCTAGGAACTATTATATTTCTTTGGGAATAGATATATGTGATAGTCTGAATATCACACAGGTTCGAGAACCAGAGGGAAGACAGGGCTTTAGAAAGCTCACCCTGGGTGTGGGTAAGCTACACTATGAAGTTGGCTGACCACTGTCCATAGCAAGCAGTGCTACTGCTTCCAGGTAGTAGTAAAGCTGTGAAAGTTAATAATGTAATTTATCCTTTTGAAAGATTTTCTGATTATGATTTAGCAGCCACAATGGTTCTGTATATTGAAAAAGAGGTATTTCAAAGAAAGATAACATAAGGACTCTGGCTTTAAATGTTTCCCTAACTTGTAAGACCTATCTCCTCTCTCAATGGTGCTGACATCTGCCAGTAGTATAGTGTTACTTACAAGCACTCATGTGGTGTTTGAGTGGCTTGAAATACATGCCCTTTGCACCAGGCAGCTAAATCTCTGCGTGGTTCATACTGCCACCATACGAGATCAAATACTGCATCACTGAAGCCTTTCTGCACTTCACCAATGTGACCCCTGCTGTGTGAGGAATGCTAAGTTTCCTCTTCCTTTAAAGGAAAAGAGGCCCTACCTAACTAAGTTTGTCCATCCAAGTTTCCATGGTTTCTCACGTAAGAAAAACGTCTTCACTGGTGGGATGAAGTATAGCCAATCTGTAATGAATCCACTTCATAGCATCCAAAAAACTTCCTTCTGTATTCCTACCAGATCTTTGTCCTCAGCTTTTTTTTTTTTTAATTAAGGCTCTATAGATTCTTAACGTTTATGCCAGGTGCCTGCATAACTCAGAGGACTATAGATGAAGTAAATATGGATGTGTAATAAATTTAATTTCTTTTATCTGCCATGCATGGATTGATCTATGTTCTGTCTTTTGCAGTAATGAAGGATTGTTTTTAATTTCCGTATCTAAAAGCAGATTTTACATTTCTGTATGAAAAACTATTTGCTTTCTTTGTATTGCCAAATGTATGGTGCTGATTTTTTCTTCATCTTCTTTGTCTGACCTCTCTCCACAATCGTGGGATGTACTTCTGTTAAATAGTTTGGTTTATACTTCTCTACCAGCTCACGTAAGAAAATTCGTCCTTCTTACCCCCTCAGGAGTTGTCCAGCTCACTGCAGGGCTTGGTCAAGTCTCTTCTGCATTCTCTAACTACAAAATAGGAATAATCATGATGCATTGCTTTTGACTGGTAAAATGCTTTGAGCTTCTCAAGAAGAATGTATTTTAAGAATCTAAGCGCTTTTTTCTTCTTCCATGAACAATAAATCAGCAACTGCCATCGACATGGGTTACTATATATACACTTTCAAGAATCCTTCCAGAATCCCTCCATTTCCCCTCTATTGTGTTTCAAGAAATGTGCAACTCATCTACATTAGCCACTGAGAAGCATCACTTTCCATAGGCCGTTAACATCAATTCCGAAGGAAAAAAAAAACCTATATGAGAATTTTTCTCTCTGAAGGAAATTGCTATGATATTTCGTCAAAGTGTCTTTCTTTCAGAGCACAGATTTGTGTGCTCTGAAAGACTATATTTTGTTGGAATGACTGGTAGTTTCTAGTGTGCCTACAGTCTGTGAGATTTTTAAAGTCTTGTTCTTAAAAAATCCTTGATTTTCTGCTGTGACTCTGAAGTCAGTGGGTATCTTTTCAGAAGCCTTCTATGGTTGACTTGTTGAGATAGTAGCCAGTAAGTAGTCTTACTTTGAATATGAAACAGTAGAGCAAAACTGATCTTAATCATGATGTATCTTCTTTTGTGTATGTTAAGGAGATAATCAGGTTATTTGTGGTGGAGGGAAAGGATTGTTTTGGAAGGATTTTTAAATGCATATGTTTTGGTTTGTCTCCCTGTTACACGATTCAGGAAAAAATCAGAATTTTAAGATATTTCTTTTTCTGTACTTTCGTTTGTATAAAACAATAATTCAGTGTATAATAATCTGGATTCCATTTTGACTTTGTTTTATTCAGAGAAGCATTTTTAGTTGCTACGTTTGCTTACCTAGGTTTTACTTGAGAAGTGAGAATTTCTAAACTAGGCAAGGAGCTATGAAAGCTCAAAGCTAATGGTGGTGTTTGCATTAGACAAGACACAGTTCAGTGACATGCAGTGTGCACCTTCATTGTCTGAATATTAGCAAGCAAAATTGACACCATATGTGCCCAACTGTAATTGCTCCAAGAGGGGAAAAGAGAAACATGTCAGAACATTTGAGTAACACCTAATTCAGCCCATGGTTATAAATAAAGCTGATGGTTGCTTAAAAACAAAAGTAGGAAAATATTATGGTTATATTATTCCTCAACAGCGCTTCCTACATAGGTGAACTTTATTACAGGGACAACACAAGTGAAAAGAAACATATAACAACTTTTTATGGTATTTTTATGTTATTTTATTTTTTTCGCAGTAAATAAAGTGGTTATGAGGCTCCAAGGAAAACGGCCCAGATGTTAGTGAGTTGTATGAAATTTAGTGGAAACAAGCTGTAAAAAACATAGTCATAAAACAGCCTGTCAATGCCACACATCTGGACAATGCAGCTGTATGTTCCCGCTGCTGTCATCACCCTAAGAAAATTCAATAGCCTTATTTCACCCCAATTAGGCTGCATACCAACAGAATCAGAATTACACAGGGAGGGGGTGTGTTTTTACCAAGACAGACCCTCTCAAATTCCCTTCAAGAAGTTTTTATCTTTCATTCAGAGCTAGTGCCTCAGACACTAGTCACTTTGTAAACAGTACTCCAAACTATTCCCCTTGATCTGCTGTTACGTGCTTTTTAATTTATTACTTTATAATAAGTAGTTGCTCAACATTGCTTCTTTGTTTAAAATCTAAAAAAATGTATATTTTCCTGTGAGAATTCTGTGTCTATTGATTTTTGCATAAATTGTGGAAGTTTTTTCTATTCTAGTTTTATCTCATACTGTAGCTGATAGGACTTCATTTGAGGTCTTCAGAACCAAAGAATAGCTGTGCATCTTACTGATACATTGTTTTCCTGGAAGTGTGGCCGTTTTGACCCACACATTGTACAATGTGTGTATTTCATTTCATCATTCAAAGTGTGTGTCAAATGGAGCAATAGTTTTGTTGTGGGTTTTTTTTTTTCCCTCTGCAGGTGATAGAATTAGCCAAAGCCATTCTGGATGGGGGTGCAGAAATTCCTGTTACACTAACTGGAAAGCTGTTGAAATTTCAACTGCTTTGTCTCAAACAGAAGGACCTTCAGAGAAGAGAAGCTGAAAAGAAGGTACATCAGAATGCCTTAGGGGAGGATGCTTAATTAAGTTTTTGAAGACACTTCTAGTGTTGCTTCCATAAATTCAGCTTTCTTCTCATGTTTGACTTCATAGAACTGTAATTGAAGAGAAATGTGACTAGAAATATCTTTTTAAGTTAATTAGATTTTGTGGATGAAGCTGTCAATTACTCAAATGCGAGTGAGAAAGTGAAAAAAAAAGAGAAAATTAAAAATACTATGCAAGAACTCTTTGCTAGAGTGAGAGCTAGTAATGGCTTATCTGAGTCTTAGGTCCAATAGAAAATAGAGCTACAAACTGGCTTCATCTGAATATATCTCTCCTAAAGTAAAGGTAGGAGAGGTTGTTACTTGAGAAGTGTCCAGGATAGAAGCACTATGAAGAAGTTATTGTTAAGAATCTCCTCTCTGAAGGGAATTTGGAGAAGTTATCTCTTCCCTCCTCTGGCACTAAGGCAGAATAATATTTTCATAAACTATTCCTGGCATATATTTGTTGAACCTTTTCTTAAAACTTTCCACTGCTGTGCTTTTGCTTTTCAGTAATTACTGCTGAACTATGTCTGCAAGGGACTTGTTTGGAAAAGGTTTCTGGTCTTATCAACCATAGTCTTGTTTAAACCTTTTACTGCGTCACTTCTCGCTGGGTATGGGGGCAACAGTTCTTACCCTGCATTCTATGGAAATCTATTACATATTTAACTAAACAAACTCAAATATATGTCGTGGTTTCTAGTTTTTGATTATGCATGTTCCTCTCCTTTGAACTCTCTCATAATAGTACATATTTTGAAATCTGCTTCTCAGAACTGAGTACCACATTTTCCAGTATTCCCAAAACTTGCTTCCATATGTCCTCCAAGATCATCACTAGCTCCAAGATTGCCTCAGTCAAATTGCTTATGTGTTCTAGGAGGAATTTCACCAAACTTGCACAGAATCACAGATCAGACCTCTAGTTGCTTTTTAATGTCTTTTAAAGTTGTCAGTGGTACCTTTCAGCAACTTACTGAACAGTTGGTTTCGATACAGTCCTTTTCGAGCAAACATTCATGCAACTGAACACCATTATCAGAGAGCTGTATAATTGCTGCAGTAAGTTTACCCTGTTAATTATCAAGAACTATAGTGTAAAGTGAGATGACATGGAGACCTGAGCAGTCTGTGCATGTAAAAGACGCAAGAAGAAAGCAGTTTAATGGATTCTGTATACTTGAAAAGTCTGTAAATTTTTTTATCAACAATTCTATTTGTGGGAATAGTTGGTGGATGAAGTATAGCACACAACCACGATAACATTAAATGCTAGATGATTAAATGAGAATTGTGTCCTGTTCCCGCAGAAGACTATTGATTAGGAAATGGTAACATAAGACACATAAATATATGAATAGTATGAGAAGATAGTGTCTTTTCTATCTGAAGAGAAATTGAGAGGCTGAAGCTATAGAGCAGATTATTTATAGTGAATCAAGAAAAAATGGCTTTTCGATACTAGTCAATTCTGATAAGTAAACTTTAAAAGTTTAAAGATTGGGCACTTCAATATTAAAATGGAGTCTTTAGCTTTGATTTGGCAAGATTAGTCTTGTAACTCTAATTTTATTTCCCTGGTCAAGTGATATTCTTGGTTAGAATCTTGGCAAGTCCAGAAATGTCTCTGCTTATTTGAGGATGATTTAAAATTATGCAGATGCAATAGATGAAGTTGATTATGGCCTGATGATCATATCTTCTGTTTGGTGTGTTCATCAGCTTAGAGTTCAAAGAAGTGCTATCAAAATTTTTTTGTTTGAAATGTCCAAAGTGGAACAAATTTGAAGGAAAATAATGAAAGCCTCCAAATCCTTCATTTCACAGTGCAAATAGTTTCAAGAATCTGTCGAAGGCATTTGTAAATTTTACAGAAAGGGAATGCATGAAGGAAGGAAAAAGCAGGAAAATATTTTCTCCTTTGATTTTGAATTTGAAGTAAATACAAATTCCACAGCTTGAAAGTCTGCTTTTCATCTGGATCTAGGGAAAGCAACTGTGTAGAGTTAACTGCCCTTTCTCATTTGCATGAAAGGCTTTTCTCATTGCTTTAATAGCCACTAAAGTGACACCAGCAGGATTGTAACTGTAAGTTAAGTTAATACATTTTTATTTTATTTAATTTAGCTTTATAATTCTGAAATGTCATTTTTGCATAGCTGGACGTAGTACTTCTACTGGGTAAAAATAAAGTGGAGGCTTTCTTGCTCTACAACATCTCACTTTAGCTTAATATGTTTTGGATTAATTTAATTTTAGACTGACTCTGGACTTTATGGATTTATAGTGTGAGGCTCAGGGATACTTACAAAATTTTTTTTTCGTCCTCTACTCTTAAATTACCAAGCAGAGCTTAATGTAGATGTTTTTGTTTGAAAATAATGAGAATGGCTGAATAATATCCTGTGTGAATTGAGCACAAGACTCTTGGTTCTAGTTCATAGTAGGCAGATATTTATATCAAATAAAAATAGTGCTGGTACCATTTTACACCATACTCAAGAGTGGTAACAGATATGTTAAAGACTTAACAGATACTGAATTTTTGCCTTATTTCCCTTAAATCCAAGGAAGGGTTCTGGCTGGTGCAAGTGCTGTATTGGCAGTAACTAAAGCACAGTGATTCTTTACTCATCTTTTTACCCGTATGCATTTTGTTAGTTTGGCAGGTATAATGTCTGACTAGCTCTTGCAGTTCCTTTTTAATGTGAAGTCTTACTACTATGATTGAGTAAGAATATAATAAACTAAATGTTGTGTTTGAGCAGCAGAAAGCAGGATGTTCAAGACAGCTTCACCACGTCAACATTATAGGGGCTGAGGGGGAAAAGTATTACAATAAAAAAACTGAATCACTGAAGTTTTACAACAGTCTGACCTTTGTTCTGCGCAAAGGCTACAATGACAACTTTGTTTATTCATCTTGTCAGGCAGAACAGCAACAAAAAGAAAAAGAAAAAGCTAAACCTCCTGACAAAGCAGCTGAAAAAGAAAGTAAAGGAAAAAAGTCAGCAGCCCCAGCCTCTGCTAAAAAGGACACCAAATTGAAACAACGACGTGGAGAAGTGGAAGAGAAAGACCAATACATTGGTATGTAAAAAATGTAGATGAACTTACTAGAAGTCTTGCAACCTAGCTTTGGAGTACTTTGTTTTGTCCACGTTTAAAACTCAAGATCTATTTGCCAATATCAAAACACTGCTGCTTCATATTTCAAGAGGGCACTGTGTTTTGCTCAGTGTTAGGATAGATTGTGCAGTCCAAGAAATAAAACTTAGATAAGATACATGTAACATGTCAATATCAAAATGTTTTAGCATATATAACACCCAAAGAAAGTAGCTAAACAAGTCCTACAGAAAACCTTTCTTGGAGAAAGATTTCAGAATAAGTATATGTAGCAGTATCCAGAGGTGGCTTTCTCCTTGTATTATAAAATATAACAGACTGACAGAGTTGAAAACCCTGTCAATGAAGAAATTTTTTGTAATATCCAGTCTAAACCTCCCCTCTTTATATTTGTTTTAATATAGCTGTATCAAGAAAAAGAAAAACAACCATGCCTTGAACTCAAAGACAGCCTGTATCTGGTAGTTTTGGTAGCTAACAGTCATTTTATCATTCATTCCTAATACATTATCACCTTTTTGAAATTAAATATTTCTGCTTTTGAGTAGTCTAGAGATTACTTGCATTGATGTCTTTCCTCTTTTGAGTATGGACTAGTCACTGATAATAAGAACTGAGTGATTATTATCCACTTGTCATGATTATTAGCCTAATCATAATTATAATTTTTTAATGGCATGCAGTCTTCATCATGTATGCATTGGAATTTTTGTATCTATGTAAGTGACTGGACAGACATCTGGGGTTTTTGTTAGAAATTATTAATATTCAGTAATTGTATGTGCTTATGCCTTTTCTTCCTGCAGTAAATGAGACATCAAATTACATACTTCAGTTTCAGTGCTAGCAGGTATATAATGGGCTAGTTTTCTTCTGGGTTTGATTTTTGCTTTATGCCATATATGTGGTGGGCTGTGGTGGCTGCTTCCTCAGTCAGTCTTTCTCCAAATTTGTATGTTCTTTTATGTTTATCTAATGTTGCAACCAACAGAGAGCCTGCTGCTCCGTGTAGTAGCAGCATTTGCACAGTCCTGGCTGTAAACCTGAGTACAGGTAGATGTTAGTGCTAGGCCACCTTTTTTTTCTCCCTTGGATGCATGAGTCCCATGAGCTGAGGAGTGGCTAAAGGACTTAGATGTGTGATGTATTAGTAGGCTTAAGAAAGAATCTTAATGCTAAAGAGAATATAAAACTGCATTTGGTTTCTAGTGCAGGATAGCCTGCACTAACTCTGCGTGTTTCAGAATCAATGAAGAGATACAGGACCTTCAGCAGGCAGTTTCTAATGACTTAAAATAAATAACCATACTGGATGAATGAAATCTTCTGGTACTTATCTTAATATCTGTATTTCTCCGTAGACCACAAAGGGAAACTATACAATAAACTTAGACTAGAGTCAAGCTTCTAGAGGGCTCATTTTTACTTATATAATGCTTAACCTTTTGCTTTGGTAGTGAAATGTTACTGTGCATATTTCTACATAACTAATAAGCCCAAACAGAGCAGGCACTCAATGAAACTTCTCATCTGCACTCTAAGATGAATTTAGATATGCCCCTGGCCAGCTAAAAGGACTAGTGTGAGCTAGTATTACCAGCTGATGAGGATTTTGACAGGAAGCACACCTAGTAAACATGAACCTGTTGAGCAGGTTCAGCAGTGAGTCAGCTCATGCCTGCAGCTAATCCTTTGAAATTATTTTGACTCATGTAATTGGTCATTTAAGACACAGTAACTTAGTCTATGTGTGCCAGTTTTATACAGAATGAAATAGGATAGCTTAAACTACCATTGGAGCATGTGAGTATGTCCTGACACTAAACTCCTTAGAGAGAAGCGATCACAGAAATGCTGCTACGACATTCTGATTATAATCAGCTTCTCCAGTTTTTCTCCTGGTGCTTCTCCAAACAATTATTATTTCTGACTTGTATTCTTCCTGCTGTGTTCTAGATGGTTTGGTGCAGAAGACTTCAGTCTAATGCACATAATGTTTTTGAACTTATATGTAATTTTCCCAATGAAGTTATAAAAGAACTGACCTTCATTTACATTACTCTATATAGTCAAGAAAAAAATTAATTTTGTTTAGCTGTTGAATGGCCTTGCTCTAATCTGGTTTTTTTGTATTTTGAACAGATGATGAACCAGATGATGGTGCCCATCATTACTTTATAATTTTGGATTTCCACAACCTTCAGCTGTTACCTGTGATGGCTGAGCTTGGAATTAACATTTCAAGTGTAATTCAAATTTCTTCTGAGAATTACAAGCCATTGCAGATACACTTGGAAGAAACTGCACTTCAAGGAGAGCCTTTAATTTCATCTGAAGGTAATCTGGTCATAAAAAAAAATTGTATAGAAAGGAGATAGTTTTATATCCAAGGAAAGACTGTTCGAGCTGTGTTTTTCTCCCTCTCTGTGCCTTGTGTTTGTGCATGCTAATGGTGAGCAGCTGTGTTTACAAGTGCCAAAATGGTATTGCCTTTGATTGGTCACCAAACCAAATGGTTTGCCAGTGCAAAAACTGGACAGCAGAAAGAGGGACTGGCTAAGTAGGCAGTGTTTGCAGCCATAGTTTTCTCCAGCAGCCACCAAAGAACGTTTTATCAAATGTGTACTTCTCTGAATCATTAGGAAGGTTCATTGCTAAGAAATCTTGGCTCATTTGGTAATTTCAAGGAAAGCACACAACTGGCTACTTTGGAACTGTGTCCCCAGCCACAGAAGAATATGCCACAGAATAACGCTCTGTAATTTTCCTCAGCTGTCCCCAGGCTGTAACACCTCTCTTGAGCTGGAATCCTGTTTAACAGCCAGCCAAATATGTGTCACCAGTGATGTCCAACCATACTGAGCTGCAGTAACATAGCCTGTAGGTTAAGGGAAGTGGTTATTCCCTGTTTGGGGCCTCTGGTGGTCTAGTGGTTAGGGTGCAGGACTCTCACCGCTGCGACCCGGGTTCGATTCCCAGCCCCCCGGGCAGATGGAGCTCGTTAGCCCTGTGAGGCAATCCATCTAAGAGAAGGTCACTCTAAACAAACCTACGTTCTGAGGACCTCACTGCCACTGTCCAAGCTTGCTCGGCCCCAGCAGATGAACCTCAGGATTAAAGGGTGGGCTTAGTTCAGTGCACGCTGGGTCTCACCTAAAAAATCCACTGCGCGGGCTCGAAGGGTCAATGACCTTTCCCAAATCTTCGCTCGCGAAGACTGGCCATTATTATTATTATTCCCTGTTACTCGGCTCTCATGAGAACAGAGTTTTGGGCTCTGCAGTACAAGAAAGATACTAATAAACTCTACTGAGTCCAGCAAACAGCCACCCTATGAGGAGTGGCTAAAGGACTTTGGAAGAAAAAAAGTGGCTGTGATCATGAATGGCCTTTTAAAATTCCAGGGTCCAAAAACAGGGGAAAATCTGGAACAAGATTCTTGGTGGAAGGTGATCAGGTCAGGGATTATTTAAGCAAACTGGACATATGTAAGTCCATGGGACCTGATGGGATGCACTCAGGCTTACTGAGGAGCTGGCTGTGATGTCACTGCAAGGCCACTGTCAATTACTTTTGAACAAATATGGCAGTTGGAAAAGGTGCCTGAGGACTGAAGGAAAGCAAGTGTCATTCCCATCTTCAAAAATGGTAGGAAGGAGGACTCAGGAATCTAAAGGCCGCTCAGACTCTTCTCAGTATCTGGGAAGATGATGGAACAGCTAAGCCTGGAAACAATTTCCAGGCACTTGAAGGACAAGAAGTTGGTCAGTTGGCATGGATTTATTAATGGAAATCATTCTTAACCAACCTGATAACCTTCTATGGCAATATGACTGTCTTGATAGATGAGGAGAGAGCAGTGGATATTGTCTGTCCTGACTTCAGTAAGACCTTTGGCACTGTCTCCTTAGAAAGAAGCTGGATAAGCAAACACTGAATTGGACTGAAAACTGGCTGAATGTCCTGGCCCAGAGGTTATCAGAGGGGATCGGTGGTATGAGTCCTGCTCAACATCTTCATAAATGATCAGAAAAATTCCCTCAGCAAGTATTCTCATGATACAAAACTGGGAGGAGTGGCTGAAAGAGCATGGGGATGTACTGTTGTTCAGAGGGACCGTGACAGGATGAAAAAATGGGCTGGCATAAAATTCAACAAGGGCAAAGTCCTGCACCTGGGAAGGAATAACTGTCTGCACCAATTTGTGGTGGGGGCTGACTGGCTGGAAAGCAGCTCTGCAGAGAAGGACTCAGGGATGGTGGCACTAAGCTGAATGTGAGCCAGAACTGTGCCTTTCTAGCAAACAAGGAGAATGGTATCAGAGCTGCATCAGGTGAAGGGATTTGAACCTTCTTTTATACTCAACACTGGTGAGTATAAAACCTGGAGTTCTGTGTCCAATTCTGGGTTCCTCAGTACAGGAGAGGTATGGAGCTACTGGAGAGAGTGCATCAAACAACCACAAATATGTTCAAGGGACTGGAGCCTGGGAATGTTTACTCTGGAGAAGAAAGATGCCTGAAGGAAGTGTGCAAAGATAAGGAAGCCAGGCTCTTTTCCATGGTGGTCAGTGACAGGACAAGAGGCAATGGCAAAAACTAAAACACAGGAAGTTTTACCTGAGGATGAGGAAACACTTGTTTACTGTGAAGGTGACTGAATGCTGTCACAGATTGCCCAGAGAAGTTGTGGAGTTTTCATTCTTGGAAGTACTCAATAGCCATCTGGACATGGCCTGGAGAGTCTGCTCTAGTTGAACCTACTTAAGCAGAGGCATTGTACCAGATGACCCCCACAGGTTCCTTTCAGTGTAAATAATTCTGTAATTGGAATGGAAGACTCTGGCAAGATATAAGTGGAGGTGTGGAAGCTCAGGAGTTTACCCCAGAGGTAGTCAAGCATTGCAATGGGTTGCCTGTAGAGGTTGTGGGATCTCTGGAGGTTTTCAAGACTGAGCCTGTTGTCTGGGTTTCCTGTTGACCGTGTTTTGAGCAGGAGATTGAGGTCCCTTCTGACCTGAATTATTTTAAATCCAAGTCTGAGTCTTGTGATAAGCAAGTGAAAAACTGAGTTGGTAGCTCTAATTGTTCATACATGTGTTTTTCGACTACTGTGGTTCCAGTTATAACTGTGCATATTGACTTCCTCTGTGGTGCTGAAAAATTCTTTGTGATGGATTCTGACACTGTTGAGATGGCATAACCAGCCCAGTAAATAAGAGGAACTGCATCCTGCAAAGTATATTGGCCAGGAGAGGGGGTTATGAAGGTTGATTATGTTGGAAGGCTGAAGGCTGGGATGATGTGACTCACTGCCATTCTGACCACTGATGAATACAAACCATTTACTTATGAGTGTTGTGAAGGGTAAACTTGTCTGAGCATGCTGTTCTTTCTATCCCTTTTGTGTTAACTATGACATATTCATACTGCCCCATGGCAAATGCTGCATGTTAGATTGCATGGGCAGTAAGGAATCTGTCCCCAAAGGTGCCAAGGTGAGCTAACACAAGTTGTGTAGATGTAGCCTTTGAGACTTGGGTAATCACAGACCAATGGATGGACTCAGAAGTAATGCCATGTTTGACCTTGTTCTTTGAGTAATCTTATCTCTGGGAAGAGAATGAGAGGAAAATATAATTTGTAGCTTCTTACAGTTTTGTTAGAATTCGTAAAATGTAAGGGTAATGTCTTAATGGGTCTTGAAAGTGCAAAGAGCAAAAAGCGTGGTTGCTTTATTTTCATTTGATTTACAACACCTGCTGGGAGTGAGAGGGCAGGGGCAGGTTTCCCCAAATATTTCCAAAGTTATTCTTTATCTTTTATGTATAATAGCAGGAAGACTTTAGAAAACATAGATAATTTGTAAATAAAATATTTTGAAGGGGGAAAATTGTGAATATAGATGACAGCATCTTGTATAAGTAGTGTTACAGGTAGTAGTGCAAGTTTTTCTCATTACTAAGAAAAGATAGGGTGCATAGTAAGAAAACAGCTTGGCTAAACCATGAATTCTTTGTGGACCTCAGGCATAAGGAAGCATTTAAGAATTAGAAATAGTTCAGGTCAATAGGAATGAGAATATATGTTTATTATGAACCGATTGGCACAGAATTGGAAATGTTGAGACACAAAATGGAATGCAGGAGGTGTACCAAGGAAAATATCTGTCTGCTGCTCAACACAGAGAAAGAACTGTAAGGAGGTGGTCCTGAGAAGGCTGACAGTGGTTAATGTTTTGGGAGGGCTTTTTGTACCTCTTTCTGTCATGTGCGTTGTGGGAGGGCTAATCTGTTGTCACTGCAAATACCATTGCAAACAGGTGATGATTACAACTAACCACAATTAATGCTGATAGCAGAAAGATTCAACTTTAAATTGTGGAGTAATAGTTAAAATAACTGAGTGTAAGATAGAGAACTTTTCAGATCAGCTGATTCAGATTAACTTAAATTGTATTCTACTTAAAGAACTGCCTGCCACTCTCATTTACAATTGAGAACTCATAAAGACCAAGTGAGAGTGGAAAAAGAGCTGTGAGGAAGAAGGGAAAGGAACACAGCCAAGGCACTGTAATCTGCTTAATTTCTGTTTCTGGAAAAATACTGGAAGAAATAATTTTTAACCACTTAAAAAAATGAGGAGATGAGTAACAGCTAGTGTATGCTGTTCAAGAACAAATCATGTCAGACAAGTTTAATTTCCTTATAAAATGAAATGCTGACCTTCTGACACAGTAGTTGTGTGTGTTGTATATTTGGATTTAAATAAGGATCACATGGCCCGCAGTGAGCAAGGTAGGTCTAGATGAAAGTAAATGTATAGTAGGTGCAGCATTATTCAAAATTCTTGGCCTCTGTAGAGTAACTGTTAAAAGTTTACTATCAAATAGTGGGATGCATGGAGTGGACTTAAGGGACTTGGTGCTGGGTCTGGGACCATTCGATATTGCCATGGGTATTGGAATAATGGGGTGTGATTCAAATGCAAAATATTCTTGACAGTATAGAGAATAATAATCTGGAAAAAACTGACTGTTCTGTTTAATATGGACAATATAGTATGCTTATACATGAATAATTAATTTACAAAGAAAGGCAAAGGAGCACATGGCTGGATTTGAAAGATAAGCTGTCATGCTAATGACACAAATGAACGTAAGTCATCAATATCACTATGCCCCTAAAAACTGAATACCATCTCCAGGTTAAAAAGGAGAGTATGTTCTAAAAAATACCTGAAAAAATCTTACCACAGAAATCAATGATGAGGTAAGACTTTGTAAAACATATGTGCTAATCAGAAAAATTCCAAACAACAGTAAACAAAAATTTTAAGGATCTGTAAAATTTTTCCTATTGAGTTAAAAATGAAATTGTTATCCTTAAGTTTGAGAAGGCTGAATGATATAGTGGAGGAATTATAAATGTCTTCAAACTAGTAAAAGTCTAGGATAGAAAATTAAGAGTTTAAATTGCAATGGGGAAAATGCAGTGTAGGAGGAAGAAAGTGTCCACAGGTGAGGTTAGTGAATTCCTGGAGAAGGCTGAGTAGAAATATTTTGAGTCTTTGAGGCTTTTAAGATTATATTAAGACAAACATAAGATTATATTAAGACATATAATTGTCTTATATTAAGACAAACATCTGTCAGCAGTGATACAGGTATAGTTCATCATGCCTTGGAGAAGACATTAGTTCAAGTATATCATAGTTGAATGGTTTACAAAACAGATAATGGTTCATCATTTCAATAATATATGAAGAAACTTTTAGAAGGAAAGCCATTAAGCTGTAAATGCAATTATGTTACACAGTTTCTATTATTCTTAGCATGAATACATGAGAATCGTGGATTAGGGACCACAGCTTTCATATTCGTTTCCTTCCCAGGTATTTTCATCCCCTAATGGCTTTCATTTTGTGAAGTTACCAAGGCAAGTACTGTTAGTACCTTTCATATGCACAGGGCCACTGGAATTATACAAGTGAAGTATTTGGCCTTCATACTTAGGCTTTAGAAGGGCTAAAGTCCAAATGAAAGCAAGTCATTGCAGGTTTATTGTCCTTATTAAATTACACTATCAAAGTATGGTTGATCTTAGATTCCAGAATGTGATTGTAAGGTTGGCATTAACAGAGAACTTTTTTTTTCACTGTAGATAGTGCATCTTCAAAAATTGATCATTACCATGGAGCAAAAATGGAAACCATACAATTTCTAGGCTTGCTTCATAGTCATACTGTGACTAATCTTCTTTTGCCCCAATTTCCAAACCAATAAAATTGTGATTATAAGGCTTGCTTACCCTGTACTTAAAAACAGGTTCACCAAGATATGTGCTGGCAGCTTTGTAAAAGTGCAACCTGGGAGTTTTACATTTCCTAGGTTTCAAACATTCACTGCTATTGTTTACTTTGGGGGGAGAGATGTGGGGGTGTAATTGGGGGGGCGGAGTCCCTTTTTTTTTTCTTTCTTCTTTTTTCTGAAAGAACTACCATATTTTACTGAGATTTTATTGTCCTGGAATTTTTTAATCCCAAAGTTGTGTGTCAGAGTTTTGCTGAGACTGAGGATGGGAGTATTTCAGCAGTACAGAAGACTAATATATGATTTGTGCTTTATGTAAAAGGGAGATGTACCATGATTTGTCTAATACTTATAAATTTTAGTTGTAGAAACAGAGAAAATAAAGGAAGATGAAGCTAACAAAGACCTGGAAACATTTTGGAAATACCTGGAGCCAGTTCTGAACAGTGGAAAGCATGGATCAAGTCTGTATGATGTTGCCAGGCTCCATCACCTAGTTAAGGAAAGTGACTTTCCCACTGATTGGTCTGACAGAGAAATGCTGGTCAGTACATTCTCTTTTCACAATGCATGGCATGCTTTGGGTTTTGTAACATTTAAGAACAATTTGGAAATGCCAGAAGTTTTATCTCAGTGTTCTCTGAAACATAACCACTGTAGTTAGTATATTTGTAATCTTGAACAAAAATTATTTCCTATATATCCAACAAGATTATTCAGCATTTATTTACAAGGAGTCCTTTGAATAAAAGTATCTGATTTGGAGTGTCTTGATATTGTAGGCCACAGCAGAACAGTTTTAAAACAGTTTCCAAGGCATTCACTAAACATGCTTTAATTGTGGAAACATATAGGCTTGCTACTTATAATATTGCTTATCATTATACTCTTTGTAAAATTTTAAAAGTGCAAAGGCTCCTTTGGGAAAGAAGTTTTTTATCTTCCCCATAATCACATGTTACAGTCTACTCATGAATATCCTGGAAGCACTTATATTATAGCTGAATTAAAGGAAAAATGATCTGTCACTCAAAGTGTTTCAACAGATTGTAGTAGCTTTCATGAGCTCTGAAGAAGTATAAAAATGTGTAACTTTAAAAAAAATGGGTGGGGAGTATATAGGTTCTGAAATCATAGGTGAATGGAATAAGTCTGCTCTTGTGGAGTTGCTGGAGAGTCTCTGAGTCCAAGCTTGCTGTGTCTCTGAAATCCAAGATCTACAGAAGGAAAACTCAAGTTGTTAGACATTAATATAAAAATGATAGAGTATTGCATACAGCAAGTGGTCTACTCTCAGATTTGAGATCTTTAGAAAGGAAAATACTTTCAAAAATATTTTCTTTGTTCAAGAGCCACTAATGGTTAGACCTGGAAAACTTTGGACAAGCATCTAAGTCTGTCCTGAGAAGAGGAGGGACCAAGCAAATTGAATCACAGGATTGAAATTAAACTAAACCTTGCTTGTCTCCCACTGAGTAGCATCAGCTTTTGTTACTTGTGACTTTGAAAAAAATCTTGTTTTGTTTAAAAGATTGCGGAGTCAAAACACTCAAATATTTTAATGAATTTTTTTATGTGCTCTAGTGATATCTTTTAAGTAATATATGAATGGAAAGGTTTTATACTAACCCCTTCTTCAGAAGAGTGTTTAATTGGGAAAACAAAGGTGCAAGAATATTAATGAAAATTCTGCTTTCACAAATGGAATTTCTTTCCCAAGTATCTCCTCTGGTCTTTAAATGTTATGAAAACTGAGGCAAGTATTCCATAACTGATCAGTGATTTGAGCTGCTTGTTTTCAAGTGCCATAAAGAGGCACGGAGTTGAAGAAACCAGATGCTTAGTACTTCTTAAAGATCCATTATTGTACTTAGTGCCTTATGTAAGCTGTGCTTCTTTACTATGTTTTATTTTAGGAAACTAAAATCGAGAGATCCAATGTTGTTAACCACCTCTTAGAAACAGAAAAGGACTGTTGACAGAAATTGTCTAAAAATTGTAATAATTTTATCCTTTCCATAATGTCTAGGATGTACAGGGGAAGAATACATATATTAAACCTGCTGAAACTTGAGTGTTTCGTGTGGTCTCCAATAAGGTTTTGGTATTTGTACAAAAACATTTCACATTTAAAATAGCAGTTGCTATTATTCTTTTTATTCGTTCCAAGGTTTGGTGAAAACCACAGTACATGACCTCAAGAACCATGATTCTTTCCTTGTCAGACTTTTGCAGATACAGTGCTCTCCCTTTGGACATTTGGGCAGTATGCTGACATTGCTTCACTCACAAGTATGGATTCCAGAGTGCAGTTCTTGAGGCTTTCTTTGTTTTCAAAGAGCAACAGAAAGATAAAAAATATTACGAAATGACATTGATTACCTGGTTGGGGTTTTATTTTTTGTCCTTCTAGGGTGGGGTTGCCTTGCAAATATGCTGCAGCTTGATCACTAGTAAAAACAGACACATATTATGTAAACCAAATACTTTAATTTTCCTCTCGTGTGCCTTCCCATCTGAAAAAGATGGCAGATGCAAGATAGCAGACCATGAACAGTTACTGTTAAGACAAGTTAGACTTTATAAAAACTAAAACAGTTAGGCAATACACAGTCCATACTGTGGTTTGGCAGTGTTAAGGCAAATAAAAATGGGGAGGCTTTAGAATAACTTTACAAAGCATTCTGAGTTAGTGGAAGAAAAAAATCTTTTGAAAAATTTATAAACAGATATAGAGCTGCTGGTTAAAGAGCTAATGACTCATGTCACTAAATTGCATGACACTTTTATATGCAAACTTCATCCGTTGTATTTTCTCTCGTAGCTTGCATTTGGTACTGTGCTGTTTGAACACATTGCTCGTTTGATGTATGATTGCCTGGACTGGAAAAGGCAGCATTGCAACTACTTGGAAAACACCAACTTTATTAATGTGCCTACGTTATCAGAGAGCAAATCACCACAACAATCTGTAACTGAGGCAAGGATCCTTCTCTTCTTGTAAAGAATAACTGCTTATAGGCAAGAATTGCCTGTCTTTAATTTTAAATCAAAAATTCACCTTGGACCATCGCTCTGAGTAATTTTCTGTGAATAAAATTTCGATTTTTGTCTTCAGCATTTAAAACCTAAAAAAAAGGAGAAAAAAATAGTTGAGCATTGGGGAAATAGAAAAAGCAAAAATTGGAAGGATCATACCAGTATAGTGTAAAAATTCCTTAAATAGCTCTGATCGATATGCCTGCACAGAGCTACTATATCTTGTTGCACATCTGTGAACTGCCAAAAAACCCAGATTATTAGTTCTATGCAAGATCAGTTTCCTTATTTTGTTCATGGTAGGAAAAACTTAAGTGGGCAGAAGTGGCTTATATAGGACATGTACTAGTAGCAGAGATGAAATGGACTTACTCCATCTGTAACAGTACTACTGATTTAAAACATTCATAAAACTACATTCTTACTGTCTTGTTCCATTTAAAAGTTTAGCATCTAGTCGAGCATGAGCAACCAAATCTGAATGAAATTAATTTTCCCACCTATTTGTGCAATCCTTACTTGTTGTATTGTTTCTGATTTTTTTTTTGTGTCTATATTTTTGTTCGCTTAGGTTGAACCAGCATCACACATGACACCTCCAAAGAAAAAAGGGAAAGCAGAAGAAGTTCTACCAACAGAAATTTTGTCACAGGGTATGTTTAAAGGATTAAAGCACTCGTGTAGTTGTTCACTTTGTTGAACCATTCATTCAGCTGACAACACAAATCCTTGAAATTATTTGTGCAGTAAGCTGAAGATGTTATGCGAATCGGTTCTTAGTGAATACATTGTGTAAGTCTGAAAACTGCAGTGATGGTAACCAAGTATTTTAGAAAATCCCCTTTTCTATGTTTCTGATCACAGTCAAATTTAAATTATCTACATTAATGAACATTGTTAGTCTCTTTTTAATAAAAATTGTCTGAAGTTTCATAGAAACATGGAATATTCTGAGTTGGAAGGGACCCAAAAGGATCTTCGAGTCAAACCCCCGGCCCTGCACAGGACAGCCCCAAGAGTCACACCACGTGCCTGAAAGCGTTGTCAAAACACTTCTTGAACTCTTGTCAGGCTTGGTGTTGTGACCACTTCCCTTGGGAGCCTGTTCCTGTGCCCAACCACCCTCTGGGTGAAGAACCTTTTCCTAATATCCAACCTAAACCTCCCCTGACACAACTTCAGGCCATTCACTCAGGTCCTGTCACTGGTCACCACAGAGCAGAGATCAGTGCCTGCTTCTCCTCTTCCCCTCATGAGGAAGTTGTAACTGCAATGAGGTCTCCCTTCAGTCGCCTCTTCTCCAGGCTGAACAGACCAAGTGCCCTCAGCCGCTCCTCATACGGTTTCCCTCAAGGCCATTCATCACCTTCATTGCCCTCCTTTGGATGCTCTCTAAAAGCTTAATCTCTTGAGGAGAAAAGACAACGCAGAAAGAATCGTGCCTTGCAGAATATACCATCTAAGGAGTCTTTCTGCTGTGCCTTTTGCAACCGGACATGCCTGTCTCATATTGGCCTTTTTAGCCGCCAATGCGCTTGCAACAAACGTGGGTAGAGCCCTCCCCAAATCTTCGTTCGCGAAGCCTGGCCATGATGACCCAAAACTGCACACAGGACTCGAGGTGAGGCTGCACCAGTGCAGAGAAGAGTGGGACAATCCCCTCCCTCGACCAGATGATGCTTTGCCTCATGCCCCACCCCAGGACACAGTTGACCCTCCTGGCTGCCAGGGCACTGCTGACTCATCTTCAACTTGCTGTCGACCAGGACCCCCAGGTCCCTTTCTGCAATGGTGCTTTTTCAGCATCTTGTTCCCCGGTTTGGATGTATGTGCAGGGTTACCCCATCCCAGGTGCAGAATCTGGCACTTTCCCTTGTTAAACCTTTTAAACTTGTTAAATATTGTTCATGATTGCCCAGCCCTGTAGTCTATCAAGGTCTCTCTGCAGGGCCTCCCTGCCTTTGAGGGAGTTAACAGCTCCTCCCAATTTTGTGTCATCTGCAAACTTGCAGAACTAACTTGGAATATAAGTTGACATTTCTGAATAAATAGATCTTAATCTTTTATCTCTTATTACAGCAGCTGAAGAAACTTCTTTTTTGTCTCATTCCATGGACATGAGGTTTTACAATGACTTGCTGAGTCAGATTCCTGAGGAATACTTTTCTGTACCCTTAATGCTGAGCTGCATGTTGGAACAGGTGGGAATGTTCTCTGTTTAATTTCTGTGGCCTAGACCTCATCTAATGAATTGGTCAAAGATCAATAAATCCCTCTGTTTCAACCTGAAATACGAGACTGTGTGTGGAAGCACTGAGCAAGGAGGTTCAATATGAAGGAATCAAAACTCCAAAGTGCTGTCTGATTTTCTTTCATGTTGTGCACTTACTCTGCATATACAGTGTTAGTCCATAATTAATTTTTGAAGACTACAAATACAATTAAATAAGGCAAAAGGTGTAATTTCTTATCTAGATCAATAACAAGTTTTTATGTCCTGCGACAATGTTATCGATATTGAACTTCTGCTGTTTTACTTGATTCAAATGTCTTAGGGCAAGCCTAACATAGAAGTGACATATGTCAATTTTAGTGCTAGACAGATCTGACTTCTGTTAAGTTCAAGCACAGTCTATAATTTAGAAGAGACCTACAATATGATTTGGAAATTCTCCTTCTTTTAGGAGTAAAATTTCTGAACAATTTTGGAGTTTTTTACTATTTGTAACTTAGTCTGTAAATAGACTCAGGCAAGAATACTCTAAGTCAAGTCCAACACCTAATAGACAATCAATTTTTAATTACCTGTGTTAATTCAGAATTCTTAACATTTCAAGTTGGAATATTTTTCTTCTCATCCTTCCAAAAATTAATAAGAGAAAACTCTTAATTCTGTTTTCCATAATCTTTGTTTTGGGCAGGAACTAACTTGGGAAATTGTATTTTTGCTACTTGTAGAAAAAAATTTTGGTTTTCTTTCTTGACAAAATTTATGGACCTGTGCTTAGCTTATAGCAGGATCTGCTTGCTAGTTCTAATAAAGGTAAGCAGCAGTCAATACTGCAATGAAAGTTAACATGTATTATGTTTGCCAGGTTATTGCGAGTGAAGAAGACCTTACACCACCTAGTCTGGTGGTACAAGAACCTCCAGCAAATGGGTTTCGTCATGCCATTGCCGATCATATAGTCTCTGTTCTTCCTTCTCTTTCACTTTCTTTGAGTGAAAAAAAGGTTTGTGTTGTCTTTTGTTTATCTCCTAAAATGACAAATAATCTCATTATTGGGATGTAATAACTCTTTCTTTTTTCTAACAGAATCTATATGACTACTTTTCTTCTAAGTGCAGTGAAGAAAAGACTGTTACCCCCCAGTACCCTCTCTTATTTAACTACCATGATACCCTCGCTCAGCGGTTGCACTTCCTGAAGGTATTTTTCTACCTATCATATAGAAACATTTCCCAGGTCCACAGGCAATGAGTGCTCAATGCACTAGAAGGGATGGAACATTTTACAAAACAGAACAGCATAGCCTAGATTTTTTTCTACTGAGATGGACACACCAACGTGTTTAGTTTACTTAAGAAGCAATGAGTTAATGACAGAGGACACCTTACAAATGTAGAGAACAAACATATTGATTTCAGTGATCTATCTGCATTATTAATAAGAATGTTTAGCCTTTGGCAAAGATCGGAGATATTATAGAACTCTGATTTACTGTAGTCAAATACTGATGAAACTATGGAAAATTAGTTTCTAACTTGATCATGGTGATTTAGCAGTTAGAGTAGATTGAATAATAAAATGTAGAGAAGCATAAGAAAATGTATGGAGTTAATGAACACAAGAAGTATATTCAGGGTGGTTGAATAGTTGGAGCATAGTGTATAACCAAGATATTGCCAAATTTTAACAAAGGCAGAAAGGTTCAGAGACTGCAAGGTTTGGGATTATTGCAAAGTAACAGTTCCCAGACTTTCTGAACCAAAAATCCAGTGAATTTATCAATTTTTTCCAAAGCCAAGGTGTAGTTGTACTATTAAACTTTGAAAAGTCTCTGAAGGCAATACAAGTGATAGTACAGTTCTAGATTTCACAGCTAAGATGTGTCTGCCTGGCTTCATGAACTACAAATTGTCTATGGAATGTTTAACAACAATTGATTAGACAATATTCAGAAACAAGTCAAGTTTGACACAGTGGATGTATTCAAGCAGAAGGGAGGACTGAGTAATCTCTGAAAGAGATGCTTTTAGCAGGCATATACTTGATGCATTTCATGTACTTGCTGAAGAAGAAATTCAGGATATAGCACATTGTTTGAGGAATAGATAGAGGAAAAGGATTTGGAATATGCAGTCCAAGAAAAAGTACTATAAGTGTGTAATACTAAAAATGGTGAAACTGAAAGATACCAGAAAGTCTGAAAAGATAAATGCCCCCCATCACAGACTGATCAATGAGTTTACAGATTGTATTACTATGAAAAGTAGCACAGACCACCTGAAAGGTATATGGAAGGAACCTGCTACAACTCTGACTAGACCAGTACATATTTCTGTATTTTTGAGTCTAGCTAGCACAGGTAAATAACTTCTAACAAATGTCTGTTATTATCCTGTCAGTCATTCTCTTATGTGTTAAATTTTTTTTCTGCCTAAATATCTGACACCATGATTCAAAACCACACTATGAGCACATGCTCAAATTTAATTTTACGTCCAACTGAGTTAGGCAGATGCTAGTATCTTCTGCTATAAGAAGACTTCTTTATTCAAACATAATTTTTAGAAATAGAGAACGTTTACTTTAACTATGGTACTTTCATTTTTGTTCCAGGCCCAGGAGAACTTAAATCCGGAAAATATTGAGCGTGAAATGATGAATAAACTGCCTCTTACAGAACTTACCCATTTCACCCTTCCTTCAACTAAAAATAACACTAAACACTTGGCCAGAGTTCATGAGCTCATGCATTATTGTACCAGTGGTAAAATTATTTTCATTGATATAACTGCCATTTTTCTTTTTTCTGGTTGATGATCCTATTAAATAGCAAGAATTTTGGGACAAGTTTTTTCAGCTGCCAAAAAGCCTTTGCAGAATTTCCCATTTTCACATTCTTGCTTATAAATACTTATAGCCTACTATACACAAGTTAACCCTCATTTCAGACCTCAATTTCATGGTTAATGGGAAAGACTATATGTGTATTAAATACTGCGTGAGTAAGAGCTGGAAGTATGTTAAAACTCCTTTATTTATTTGTATTCACAAACATACAAACAATTACTAATTCTAAGGAAGAAAAAACTGTAAAAATCACAAATTTGATCCTAGGATATGTAATGCATTTTGAGAGATGCTGATGTAAATTGTATATTTATTTACCCACACCCTTTTGGAGGAGGAGCACATATATCTTAGGGAGGCAATTTTTATTGAACAATAAATGGCTTTCAGAATGTATTCTGTATAAGTATTGGTATTAATAATAAAACTACTTTATAATAGTACCTGTATCAAACCAAGAATACATGCACTTCTTCAACCATAATCACTTCTGCAGTTACCTTTTCTTGGAGTGCTTTCTGCCATAAAGTACACTGGGAAACAATCCCAAAGCCTACATAAATACCCTTAGGTAGTATCAAAAGTCCTCTCTAGGCTACTAAGAAGTATAAACATTCAAATCCCCATGGTTATATTTATATCATCATGTAAGGCACAGGATTTGAAGGTACTTTCCCAGCTATTTCATCCCGAGGTCCCGTGTGTTGGATTAATTTACACTCGCTATGTTGTTTCTAGTTGTTGGTATGTTCATTTTGGACAGTAAGGTATATAAGGTATTCAGTATTGCTGTAGCATTCCAGCTGAGTTTTAAATTTGATGGTCTTTACTGGACTATACTGTGGTGCCAGACTCTCCCAACTGGTAACTTAGCTAGCAGTGCCTTCGCTTGTGTCAAGAAGGTGATTGATTTGAACGGACGATGTGATATCCAACATTTTTGAGATGTATGACATGCTTGGGTGCTTAACTACCCTGAAGTGAAAACATTTTAAACTGAAGACACTCTATATTTGATTTGGGCATTGTACTACCTGTCTTAAAAATCAGTCCTTTGCTTGATTATCACTGTTATATATAGACACTGATGCATACAACCATACATAGGATTTATTATTGCCTTTGCACCTGGCATACTTCTGTGTAAATTATGTGTAAAATTTTGTCTGAAGAGAAAAAAACGTTTGATACTTGTCTGAGAAGCTACAGAGAATAAAAAAGTTTCATGAACTGAAAATAACTAGCTGTTAACTGGTTTGATAATGTCTACTCAGTATTTTAAAATCAACATCATTTATATAAACTTAATGAGCCAGAAGGTATTCAAATGTAGGAACCACTTCATTTAAGATGGATTAATATTTAGGCATATCATTTTGCAATTTGGAAGCATTCAACTTTGAATGCAGTGTAAAATGTAGCCCACATAAGTTGATCCAATACCATTAAGGAAATTGGTGTTGTCTTTTGCAAAGTTGCCAAGAACAATACACTTAAATAGTCTTCTATTTATCTTTTGCTGAGCTGTAAGGACGTTTTCAGTTAATGATTGTAATTCTTTTTCAGAACTTCTGAGTTGGGCTGAAGTAGAAAGAGCCTTTAGAGTATTTACTTTTGAAAGCCTGAAGCTGACCTGGCTGAGTGACTCTGGTTTCCTGGAGAGCTCTGGATCTATGGTTGGAGGGAATTCTGAAGTGTGTTGTATCCCTTGGGATAATCCAGACATGTTTGCAAGACAGCTGAGGCAACTCTTCCTTATGGAAAAGAAGCTTAATGGAAAATCTCCAAGAGGCTCCGGTAAAAAGCTCTCTGTTTACATTACTTCTGAAGGATTTGAATCCACTATTTGTTTTACCATATCATTTGCTATTGCAGGGATGTGATTTTTCTTCCTCGTACAAATCACAAAATTTTCAAGTATTGTATGGTCTGTACGTTGAGTAACTATGTAGGAATACTAGAATAAGGACAAAAGCTATTTTGTACTACAACATTAACAATTGTAGACAATACAGGGTGAATTTTCTGAAGTTCTACATTTTCTCCTGCAGTTTCTAACATAATGAAAAGTTGTTGGCCTGGTTAAAGGAGAAGTGTTGACCAAGAAGCAACATTAAAAGCAAGTGATTATTTTTGGGGTGATGCAAGAAAAGTAGAAATTTAAGCAACTATACCTTTAGGTACATGATTATAGAATCATAGATTGTAGAATAATCATTTAGGTTGGAAGGGACCTCTAAAGGTTATCTATTCCAACCCCCGTGCAATGAGCAGGGACATTTTCTACTAGATCAGGTTGCACAGAGTCCAATCTGACCTTCAGAGTTTCCAGGAATGGAGCATCTACCACCTTTCTGGGTAACCTTTCCCAGGGTTTCACCATCCTCATTGTAAAAAAATTCTTCCTTATGAATCTATCCTTCCTTAAAACCATTACTCCTTATCCTATTACTACAGGCCCTACCAGAAGGTCTCTCAAGGCCACGATAAGGTCTCCCCGGAGCCTTCTCTTCTCCAGGTTGAACTTTCTAAGCCTGCCTTCACAGGAGAGGTTCTCCATTTCTGTAATCACCTTCATTGGTCCGCCTCTGGACCAGTTTCAACAGATCCATGTCTTCCCTGTGCTCAGGACCCTAGAGCCGGATGCAGCACTTTGTGATGTTGTCCATCCTTTCCTAATAGAGATGTGTAAACAACCAGCTTAGATGGGATCTTTTCCCTAGAAGGTTGGAGCAGACAAAAATGAATCCTGCGTATCTGCCTCTCTTTTAAATTTTGGGAACATTTTGGGGTGTTGGTTTATTTTACTTTTATAGTAGTCACAATAGTAAATATAGCAGTTACAAGCATAACAACATTTCAGCACTTCTGCAGCACAAAAGCAAATACCAGGAAGATAAAACATTTGCTTTCAAGTCTCTTCCATATTCTAAAGGCAGTCAGTAAAGAGATGTAACTTCCAAGAGAAGCAGAGCCTAAAGATATATGTCTGGAAACTGAGCTGGTTATAAGGCACTTACAAACAAGTGCTTCATGGTGTATTTTCTCCCAGAAAGAGTAATTTTCTTGTACATGTGAATTTTCTCTTCCCTAACTCAGGACATAAAGAATTCTGTTAAAAGGAAATTATTTTTAAAAAATTAAGAGAATATAGAAGTTAAAGTCCCCATGTGATCCTGTTCTTATCAGATGCTCATTGTAACAATGGAATGACTGGTCAGATCATCAGGAGAACTAATATTCAGTCAGTAGCTTATGAAACTCCACTCACTAAATTAATTGAAAATTTATATTTTTCAAAAATATGTGAACATATTAAAACAATTGATTTTACCTTCTATTTTAATGTCATCTGTGCAAAGGACTGCTTCTTAAAGTACTCAGAAAAACGGTTCTTTGTGTATGAATCAGGAGGATACTTCTGAGAATGTTTTTAATGGTTTTGACTATGCAAGGCCAGCATAGGTTAGATAAAGAGGATTATTTGAGTGGGTTTTATAAAGTGTTCTTTTTCTTTTTTTTCTTTTTCTTTGCCAGTGCTATCTGGCACTCCTTGTCCCTGGATTTTAACGTTCTCTTTTAGGAAAGAAGGGTAGCAGAGCTGATCATGTATTTATAGGACTAGTGTCATAAAAGGAAGTTTTAACTTTATGTCCATTTCATCAGGAAGGCTAAAGGAATTGCATTACCCTGACCGTAGTGTTTGGGGCTGAAATTTCTGGAACAATTCTTAAAATTCTGCTTTCAATTTCCAGGGCATACGGAAATAAATGGCAAAGATGGAAGAGATGGTCTGGCTGATCCTCTTTTGGACAACGAATTAGATCTTCCTGTTTCTGATATGGCAAGTGTGAGGAATAGAGTCAACTAGGCTTTACATGAGGCAACAGAACATACTGTTCAATGCCAGGACATGTTACTGGGGATTTCTTTGCAATGCTGAATGCAAATGTTAATGTTCTGATGTCTGGGAAATAGTGCCATAACTTTTAAGCACTGTGAAAGCACTTTCTTGGAATTCCAAGGTGATGGGTATCAGTGAAGCCGCTAATAATAATTCTGTGCTGGCCTCACTGAATACCAGGGGTCAAATACAAACATGAAAATTTAAAAGAAAATGTCAAACTGTGTCAGACTAGTAAACTGTGTAGTTTGGCGTCTTCAGAATCACCTGTCTGCCATATATCCCTGCATAAACATAGCAATTTTAAAATGACATCACAGGACATGTTTAAATACTTATAATTGCTTACAGAACTCAGAAACATATAAGCTAATAATAAAAGTATTTAGATTATGTTTGCCATAAAAAAATCCAAGACTAAAAACCCTTGGGAGTAATTGTATTTTTTATTAAATAGTGCCATACGGGTCTGCACATATGCAGCATTATGCGGTTAACTGTGATGCAACATGTGATACTGTCTATTAAGCCAACAAGATTAGAGTTAATTTAATACAACTGACACTGAAATGTTGATATACATTAATTTGGTTTGGTGTATTTTGAGGTGAGTCTGGAAAATTACTTAGAAGAAATAAAAAAGATACAGCAGCGTTGCTTGACGGACTGGAATTTTGAGGAGCATTTTCAACCACATGTTCTTCTTCAGGTATCTGTGAACTGACAATCTTATACATACAGTCACCTATACAAAGAAGTCGTGGCAGAGTTCAGGGTATTTTCTTGCTTGATAATTGATTTAGTTTTATCTCTTTTTCATTTTTACCAAAACCCATTGTTCTTTAGCTGCTTTTTAGTTCTTTATGTGAAATTTAGTCTGTAATGGGTTTTTATTTCCTGATTTGGCCGAACTAGAGCTGTCCTATTTCATTGCAAGTCTCTTAGCTAAACATGATGGAGATAAAATGACCTTGCCCTTAGGGGTGATCCTCTCTGGCAGTTATGGGGCTCATTAGTGTATGTGAAAACATACTGTGCAAATACCTCTGCAGTATATGTTTTCTGGGCAAACAGAAAATTTTGTTGTTACGTTACTTCACCCTTTCAGGGCTAAAAGCGTCATTTATAGAAGTCCTGCTAGCTAAAAACTAAAGCTTACCTTGCAGAAATGCAGAATGACAAATGTGAAAGATGAGTTCAAGTGTAGTTGGCTTAAGTTGGTAGGCATTCTCTTGGGAAGAGTGGATTATTAGTTCCTTGTAATGCCTTGAGCTTCCTATACTGTAATTCTTGTTTGACCCTGACACATGCTGTACGTGGGTGAAGGAAATTCTGCTTGGAGTTTTGAGCACCACTTTAGTGTCACAATTGCAAACACTGGTCATACATTTCAGTGCCTAAGAAATTATGCAACATAAATAGCTAATGCTACCTGAACTGTCAGAAAGTCTCAGGTGACTGGAAAAAGGTTTAACATTGTACCCATCTTTAAAAAGGGTAGAAAGGAGGACCCTGGGAACTACTGACTTGTCAGCCTCCCTTCTGTGCCTGGAAAGATCATGGAACAGATCCTTTTAGAATCTTCAGCTGCATAGTTTTGAAAAATAATAGTTTACTTAAAAGAAGGCTTTCTTCTAGCTATGACTATAAAGTCACAGTTTCAGCCTGCAGACAATGTAAATATTGAAAATTATGGGCCCACTACAGAACAGAGTGGAATAATGTAGAAGACAGTAAATCTCAGAGATGTGTAGGTCATAGTTATAGCAAATTGAATACCAAGTCGACTCAACTGAGATAACAAAAAAAATAAACTTGTTTTCTTTTTACCTGGTATATGATAGTTCTGCTTTTATTTACTATTTATTTAAATATTTTATTATTTAAACTTGCTTAAGTATTTATTCAATATTTTAATTTATTTGGTTTTTATGTAGTTGAACTTTTTTATTCATGGTCAGTCTCAGAAGGTGGAGCATAGAGACTGTCTCATCTCAACATAAATAGGAATGGAGTTTCAATTTCCACCTACCTGAACAATTCAGGTTGCTGGAATCCAAATGCTTTGAGTACACCTTGTAGGAGAGTGAAGTTCTATAGCACCTTTTGCTAAAAGCTGTGTTGTGTAGCCTTTGTACATATACTACTGTCTGCGGGGAGGGTATACCTTTATTTCTTTCCTTTTCAGGTTCTTCATACAGCATCCCAAGAATATAGATGTATTGATACCTTTTATCATAACCAAGATAACTCTTTGTTAATGGTTTTTCACAATCCTATGAATCAATATCGTCTGTGCCAAGAGACTTGGGATATTGCATTGCACTCTAATGTTGGATTCAGGTAATTGATTTTATATTTCATGTCTCATTCACAGTCGTTTTCAATAAAAGCCTCCATGGGTATGCCTGGGGCAAAGTTTTGAAATTAAGACATTGCTATGTAACACATTTATGAGAAAGCAAGTCATGCAGCTTGAAAACAGTGCTGTGTTAAAAGAATTCTCTTGAGCTTTTCTGAGTAAGAACAATGCAGTAGGTTGCTCCTTATCACATACTACAAAAATATAAATAATGCACACATACACACAAAGTCATGTTTGGGATACCACATCAAGAAAATTATACTTCAGGTAAGGGATGTTAAAAAGAAAATTCTAGGTATACACTTACTAGGTTTTTCAACTATGTATACATAAACTCAGTGATTGTAAGTGGGAAAATTTTGGGGGAAAACTAGAAGTCCTTTATTGATATTAGAACTTTTTTTTTCACAGAATACCACATTCTTCTTAATTCCTTGTCACTGTCTGCGCACCAGTTATAGGCGTGCAAATGGTTAGTGTGTCCACTATTAGAGCTTTTGTCAGTGGACCTATTTGTTTTGGAATATATTTTTGCATTGAAGAAGTGGTATAAATGATGGTGTAGATCCAACTGCTATTCGAAATAATTGACTGAAAATAGAAAAAGTGTCCATGTACTGATATGTAAAGAAGTTAAATGCCATAGAGAGACAGCTGAGCTATCTTTAACTATGTCACTCTGGTGCTCTATGGATTAATTAGATTTATCAAATAGAATTTCAAGCAAATTATCCAGTAGAAAACACCTACCCCCTATTTGTTTGCAGGCATCCCTTTCTAAGTGCAGTGCCTAATTTATCAGAATGTGGGAATTTTTTAATGGAAACTTTTGTTGGGACCTATGTATTTGAACAGGATTGAATGCTAAATAGGCAAAATGTCTTCAGGCCTTCCTGAAGACATATTTTGTATTGTATTTTGTATCTTTGCTCTCAGTCAAGGAGCTCTATGTGAGTCCATCTCAGCTTTCCTGGCTTAAATTATTTGCCATGAAAAGGGGCTGTTGTGATTAGCAGTGATTGCGACCAGAGCCAAAAGAGATTTACCAGCAGAAATCAAAGTTCCTTGGAGAAAATGCTGGCTGTTTTGTGTTTGTTGGGCAGATCCACTAAATGTCTGGTCAGTTTTTTTGCATTTATGTAACACTATACCCAAAAGATAAGTGAAAGACGGTGTGTTCAAGTGAAGCTGGGTATTGCATTCAGATAGACCCAAGCAGAGAGTCAAGTTATCTTAAAGTCTGTTTCACATAAGTCTGTTGAAGCCCAGAGCTTTTTATTCTGGCAGCTATTCTTACTCTAATTTGTGTGGCACTGGACTTTAAAATGCCTAATTCAAGTTTCTTAAATATAAACAGCTGGTGCCAGTTTAGCTGCCTGGTATATTTGAGTTGTCTGGACAGGGCTGACACACATGACATGAGACCCATAGGAGACCCATAGACTTTTGGAACAAACACCAGAGACCAGGTCACATACCCTAGTACATCGAACATGTCACTTGGTGTTTGCATACACTGAATAATTCCTCATCCCAACAGCATATTGTTGGTGTGTTGTCTGTAGAAGCAGGTAGGGATGTACCAGACTTCCCCTGGAAGCATTTCTCCCTGAAACAAAAACTGTTCATTTGCAGGGTTGTAGAGCAGATAGGCTGGTCCCCTTTGACAGGACGTTGAAATAGTTCAAGGCCAACTAAGAAATGCAAGGAGCTCTTGATACATGCAAAAAAAAAAGTTGCTAATTTTGCACCCAAAGAAGGGATGAAGCATGTTCTCTGGTAGATGCATTATAATACAGTAGCTGTATGTTTCCTTCTTCTTACTCTTCCACATCCACTGGAAACAAGGCTTAGACATTAAAGATTGTTTCTACCTGGGGCAGAAATGTCTTTGTCCAGTGACAATTCATCAGGTTCTGTTTCAAAGCAGCAAGGAGTTCCTAAAGAAACTGACATGAAAGCTGCAAGAAGGTTTGGCTTTGCTCTTGTTTCATAGAAGTATTCAACATCACTGCTGTGTGAGCTACTTAGAATCTTTGAGGAGCTGTAGGCCCTCTTTCAGTTCTGTTACGTGGCATCAATACCTGCCAATTCTCTGCAAAATAACCGGTACGTTTTCAGGACTTATTCAGCCTTTTGCTAAAGGTAATTTTAGATTTCCAGACAAAGTATCATAAATAATTGCTAGTGTATGTTTCCAGGCAACATAACACTTCTGTGGAAGACAGTCTTTAAATACCTGGAGTGCTTTAAGCTGTTCCCTGCAATTAGCTTCCAGATCCTGCTGAGTTGCCAGAAACTGGCACAAATCTCACTCATTAATTAAGTGGTTACTGGCTTTTACCTTTGTATGAAATAACTGACTCCTGGTGAGTTTACTATCAATTTATTGGTTTTTAATTTATTAAAATTACTATCATTCTAATTTATTTAAGAGTCACAATGTTACCACAGGAGAGTTACAAATGCATAACAGATGCTGTGCTTGACAATCTCTCTGATAGGAGTTCTCTATCTGTGTTTACTTGTTGCTTCTTTATTGTGACGTCTTATAGACCACAGACCAACTTTGTAGGGTCGTTTCATAGTTGCTATCTGGAATATACTTCTGTTACCTGCTAATCAGTTGGTTACAGAATCACACAATAATTTCATTTTGATTACAGTGAGTTCTGTTACAGGAAATTCTCATACAAGGTGGAAATTAAATTTCTCACGTTGCAGCAGCTTTTGCTCCTGGAGACCCCAGTTACCTTCCTTCTTTATGGATATCAGGTCCTGTGGTTCATGTAGAACATCCAAAAATTCAGAAATTATACCTTTTAAAGGGTAGGCAGCAGGAAGCTGCATATGAAATTCAATGGATGCTACTGACTAAGGGAATGCAAAGGCATGGACACGTGCACCTGCAGTGATGTGTGTATATAAAACATTTTAACTCTGGTTAGGATAAGTGGCCACTCTGTCAGAAAGCCAAGTGAATTCAGGCATTATCAAAACTAATTTTTGCGCAGAGTTAATGGCATTTATTTACTCTTTCATAGTAAACACATTATGCAAGTTACTGGAAAAGAATAATCCTTTCTGAGAAATGGTTCTGAGTCAGACATTGGCAGTAGGGGCATCAGAATACATATTAATAGAATGTGTATTTTAGACTTTGAATGACTGTTTCATTGCCCTAAAATATTTTCCACGCGAATAATCTCTTTTTATTTATAACATATATTCATCTTCCAGTTATTCCAGTACTGGCAACTCTATGTTCCAGACTAGTTTTGCCTTTTGTTTTCAACACCATGGGTTTTTATGGCTTGTACATTTTTCTTCAGATACAAGCAGAGTAACCTTGTCCCAACTGAGTATGATATATATGATCAACAGTTTCTCCATGCAAGTTTCCCAAAGCAGGCTCCATCTACACTGCAGAAGCTGGGAGAGACTTGTGTATCTTGAAGCTGTACATGAACTGTATACATCTCCAGTCTGTGTACATGACCTACGTATTAATTCTCTTGTACATACAATGTAATGATGTAACAAGAACTTTGAAATGGTCATGAGGTCACAAGTTGATTGTGTTGCCTGCATATTCATAACCAAAACCTGTACTCCATATAGAGCTTTTGAATACAATTGAATAATCTCAGATTTATAAATGCAAAGTATCACGAAGACACAACAACTGAATGTGATACATTCTTCAAAATCCCCATTTTAATTTTGCACATATGAAGAATTTTACTTTCAAGAATTATGGTAACCCTCCAAATGAGGGGTTGAGTGGCAACTGCATATAAGACTTCCAGGCTTCCTCCTACCTTGAAAACAGTTTTTCACAGTGAACTAATTTAGCAGTGATTTCAGACACCTTTGGAAAATGAGACAATGTAACTGCAGATACCAACTGCAAACTCTGGATCATTCAGTTCTCACTTCAACTTAATTGTTAATTGTGAATATTCTTAATTTATGCCAGGTCATGGTGCACCGATTCTCTAATCTGGATTTGGATGACAATTTCCAAACACCTGTCTTGTCACACCATAAAGAAGAGCTAGGAATTAAGTACAATAACACCTCAATTTCTGAACAAACAAATGAAGTGTATTCTAAAAGATAATATTAATCAAGAGCAACTAAGAAAATAAATTATTCTGGTGGCAAAACAGTGAGGAGAATGAGTCTGAACCTTTCTGAAACTGACTGTCTTTATGTTTTGTGATTTCCTGGATTTTTCTTTAGGAGCAGGTATTCTTTGGAAGACAATTTTCTAATATCTCTTTGCAGAAAGGATAACCAAAATTCCAAATATAACAGATATTAAGCAAATACCGGCCAGGTGCAAAAGTACCAGTTCCTGTAAAAACAGAGAAACCCTGTCAAACACCAGCCTTCTCTCAGAGAGAGCCTTCTCTCTTGTATAAGAAACTGAGAAGCCAAGTGGTCTTGTTTGACCTGAAATCATATTAGCGAAAACTGTATTATGTTAAATAGAGGGATATTCTGCTTTTTAGGAATTATCTCGAGCTGGTGGCTAACTCAATTGAGGACTGGGTGAGAGAGGAAGAAGCTAAATACCAAGAAGAGAAGATGGGTAAGGAAACAGAGTCTTTTAATTTGGAAAAAGCCATGGTAGAAGGCCCTTTTGAACTGTCTGCATGTGCTGTCAAAAAAACTGGCTTTACTAAGAAAGCCAAAAGTGGGTATCTTTTTATTCTAGAAAATTAATTTTTCACTTTAAGTGCTGAGGCCCAAATCTATTCAGAGCAGAACTGCGTATATTTTTTTTTTCCCTAGGATGACCTTGTTTTGACATCTATAAAGGCATAAATATGTTTTGGAATTAATTAAATGCATGTATTTGTATGTTCTGCATCATTCTCTGTTCTGAAAACTGACACCTCTAGTATCAATTTACATTTACAATAGTTGTGCTTATCTAATGAAATTACTTTAAAGATTACATACAAATATGAATCTTTGTTGAGATCACTGAACACATGAAGAGATGAGCAGTAGTTAAAGCTGGCAACATGGTTCAGGAAAATTCTTTTTTAAAGGGCAGGATAAAAGCTGGAAGTCAGAAGCTGTGGGCTAAGAGCTAAAACTGGAATTGACTAGACCAGCAGAGCAAACTTGAATTACAGGCAACATTTTGGGTAGTGAGAATTGTAAGCAGTTCATACAGTAACTGTTCAGTAGACAGCAAAATCTGAAAACCCCTATTAAGAAAAAAGAACTTTTGTCAAATTTGTTCATTTGTGTATCTAAATTATATTAACAGTTATTTATTGATGTTTCACCTTTGCTTTGTTTACCTTTTTTGAGAATGCACTTTGAAACCTTCCAGTACTAGCAGTTAGCATTTACAAAAATAGAAACGTTACTCCTCAACCCAATTAACACTTCTGATTATAGTTTGGAAACTAAAAGGGCAGTTATGACTTCTATATCATAATTTGTAGGTATCTAGCTGTCACAGGAGCTAGATTGAATCTTGCCCATATGGTGCCTCATGACAGATATAATTCGTAGAGTAGCTCACTTGCTGAAAGAAAAGAATCACCTCTAGCTGGAACATGCAATGGGCAACAGTGTCTTTGGGTGTTTTCAGTTTCACTGACACTGCTGTAACCCACACTGCAATTTCTACTTTATAATACAAAGTAAGTTTCTGATAGGGGACTTTATCTTTTCTAGAAGGTAAATATTGAATATCCAAGCATACTATAAAACTACACTCGTAGAAGATACCCTTTTCATAAGTAATAGATGCTATAAAGCCATAATAGTAAACAAGGGATATGTTTTTTCTTTAGTGAAAGTTTGAAGGGTCAGACAGCATTTATTCACTTTTTTGTCTTAAAAGGTCATAATATCTATGACTCTGGTATTGAACTTGTTCTGGCTCAGTTAAAAAATAAACATGCAAACTTGTTACGAGAGCAAAGCCTTCAACAGCAAGAAGCAGAGAGTCAGTCTTTAAATATGTTAATATACTGTTTAGCATATTTGGTCCTCAGTTATGACAATCAAGTAATATTAGTTGTCAGGTAAGTTTCTTCTTACCTAAACAGACTTTCTGTTTTACTTCTAAAAGTATTTAACATTTTCTTTATTTAACTTGTGTACTTTTAGTATTTCAAAATCTGCATTTTTTATTTATTTGCACATCTTTTATTTTTATTTTCCTATTTTTAAAAATTATTGCATTTTCATATATTTATAACCTCACTTATTTTCCCTTTCATTTCTCAAAGGCAAAACATCAGGACCTGAGAGCATAAGAGAATCTCAATCCAACAATGGAGAAAGTCCCATTATCAGAGAAGATTCTTTAAAGGTGAGGCAAAAATATATGTTTCTGAAATGGACTAAAAAGCACTGCTTTCTTATGAAGGTAAGCCTTTGTTCTTACCTAGGGTTGACTGAGTTCTCTTAGTTTTTCTGCTTTTGGCTATTTTTTGTATATGTTATTTTCTTTAATTTATTCCTTATTCATTGTGAGTTATGTTATTTTCTTAAGGGAAGACTGCTTGGAGTTAGACTAGACATTCCAAAAGCAATTCATAATTGCAATACTGGAAATACGAGTTATGAATAATATCCTACTATTCTTCAAGTTTTCAGATTGGAAAGATATGAAAAGATAAATCCAGATTCGTGAAAGTATGTGTGTACCCCACTCCCGCTTTCACTGTCTACAGCTCTTTGAAATTAGGGAATGTAAATACAGTACCTCAGAATTCCCTTATAACAGAGAATCCCATGTTATAGATGTAGTTCATGACCATGCACTACAGATTAATTGACTTGCCCAGGTTTACACAGTAAGTTTCTGGTTGATGTAGGAGTTAAGCACACATTTTTTTTAAGGTTTAGCACTGGCATTATCCATTAATCTGCACAAATCTAGATTTATTGATGTTGTAGTCCCTCTTTTTTTTGACTCCTCATAGATATAGCATGTCTCATCTTTTTTACAGTGTATAATGTTGTCCACTTAAAGTACTGGAATGTAGATATGAAATGGCATTAACCAATTCCTGGCTACTCAACTTGAACTGGCCTCGCTCAAATTAGGCTAATCCCTAACTTGTAACTCTGAATGCTTGCCATTTCTTCCACAGAAATGCTTGTGCTTTGGTATGCTTAGACTATAAAGTGCTACAAAGCCCAAAATAGTCCAGAAAATCTCAGATGTCTTCCTAATACAAGTTGATAATTTTGGCATGCATACCTCATTCTTCTTTCTGTAAAAGAATAAAATCGTTTTATCTCACAGTTGCATTTTGGGAATAAACTAATACCAGTGATGCATTGTGATTTGGTGATAAACATTGTGGACAAGTGTACAACAAAGTCATCCTTTTATGGCTAATTGTGTAAGATACAAATAATCATGTGATTCATCTCCTGTAGTCAACAATGACTGCTCTTGTCGGTTGAATGAGTCAGTGATTTTGTGCAAAATATGGTGCATAATATTGTAAAACTTTAGACACGTTTGGAAAACATGTCTTAGAGTGACTTAGAACATTGTTTCCTTTGAGGTTGTTTGCTTGTACTCTTTCCAGCATGCACATATCAGAGAGAACCACAGTTCTTCTTAATTGCTAACATTGAATGTAGGCTTGGAAGAAGGAGCAGGACCGCTTACGAGAGGAAGAAACAAAAGGAAAGACAGAAAATTTGGGAAGTAAAAAGAAAGGACAGGAGATAATAGATGGAGAGTGTAAAGATTCCGAAGAGAAGTCTAAAAATGAGCCAACAGAAGCCTCTGAACTTCAGGAGGATCACAGCATTCCAGAACCATGTTCTGAGAAAGTTTATAAGGTAAGGACTTGTATTATTGCACCACATTAGAAAAGTGCTAACTATTTGTATAGACAGTCAATATTACAGCAAAGCTATTATCTATTGTGAAATTCAAGTTCAGGGCGAATTAAGCCTATCTGTGTTTTGTTTCACGTCATTGTTTTTGATGTTTAAGATTATTTACTTTTTTTTATGTATATGACATGAATACAAACATAAGTTGATTGTGGTTTTGTGCCCATGGAAAATATGTTTGTAGGATCAGTCTTGCCTACAAATGTGGGGTTTGTGGGAATAGAAAAGGGGAGCATAAGGACTTGTCCTATCTCTTATATTAGGGGACTGCTAGGCCTACTTGAAATTTTGACTGTCCACATTGGAGATTAAGTAAAAGGAGTTCACTGTTTCTTCTATTTCATCTTTCAAAATTCATATTCTTAAAGTGCCATAATACAAGCTAATCTTCTGTTACACTAGCAGAGGGAACTCATGAGTAGTTTTGTCCAAACAGTTTTAAGGCAGTTTGCACCACCTCATATTTGCATAGTCTAAGTCTTGCATCCAAAACTTGCATAGATTGATATATTTTAGTCTTAAATTTGCTTAAGCACAGACTTTGAACTCAGATGACATTGCCATCTGAACTTATTTGAGTACACTCACATAATTTTTGCTGACTTGTGGCATTTTGGAAGGCATAGCAATCTAATTAGATTTACAGTGTCTGAATTTCAAAATCTAGAGGGTAGAAAGCTGAATCATTACCTGCCCTTCATGTGATCCCATGCCATTGTACTTTATCTCTTTGTGCTTGACTGGAATTATTCTTTCTCTCACACACTGTTAATCCACCCGTCTACTTGCTACTCTTCTGTTTTCGTGATGGCTCCATGATACTGAAGGATCAGATTCTGCTCTCATGTGTAACAAATTACTTCCATTAATAACTGAGAAATTTTTGGGATATGAGAATAGCATGCTAGGTATTTGCTAAAGTTGTTATTACATTAGTTAAACATCTAAGCAAAAAATGTTGAGCAGAAAAGTGTGATCCTGATGATCTGTCCTGCATTTACCTCTTTCATGGGTTCTGCCTTTCTTTTCTCATTTATAGATAATCTAAAACTTGTTTTTCCAGTTTCATGGCTACAATACAGGGGAGGATGTAATTCAAATATCAGGAACCACTCAATATCTCTTCCCATCCGATGGAGGACAGATTCAAGTAGAAAAGATAGAGTTTGTAAAAGGTGATTCTTTAATTCTTCATGGTTTGCTTTGACTCAGTGCTAACTGATGGCATAGTTTCTTAATCCATAAATGCTTTTTCATGTCTCAGTAGTAGAAATTCAGTTAAAGAAATTCCATATTAACGTCTATCACTGTTAATCTTTGTATTTTCCTGTAGTAGGTTAGCAGTTGATAGATAAAATTCCAGAAAAGTAGAAATGGAGAAAAATCAGTTCATATTTATCTGTTCAATGGCAACCAAGGCATGATAATTCAGGAATGTTCCAATTATTTTTCTAGTCAAATGCAATAAATCTAAAAAACAGATTCTTCTGAAGCCTCTAAGATCTAATTGTCAGGATTTTTGTAATATTTAGTCTAAACTGAGAAAACCTTAATTTTTGTCATCTTGGTCTTCTACTAAGTGATTCGGTCCAGTTCTGAGAAATTTTCTTTTTTGGTGTTCTTTAAAGTTGCAGGTACAGGGTTTATTTGGGTGCAGGTAAGTTCTGAGGCCTGATGGGACCAATAATAGTATTCCATTGCTTTACAGGTCTAACTTCGGTAAAGGTGAAAGTGATAAAAGACAACCACAATTTCTTCATTCATATCACAGATCCCAAGAAAAACTTGGAAGAAGATGAAGTGCAAGAAATTAATGAAGAAGAGAAAATTAGATCAGGTCAGTGAATTGACATCACTGATATAAAAAATTACTAGTTTGACATATTTAGTAATTTGATACAAAAATTATCAACTAACAGAAAATGGCAGAAAGTAAGAAAAATCAGCGTTCCATAAAAATCCAGTTGACTGACTTAAGTACTGTATAGAGAGACTTTAGCAAGATATAGAAGCACAGTGAAGGTTAAGCAACTGTGCAAACCAGTTTCTTTTCCAAAGCAAGGAAATCAATGAAGAGTCACCATTCTTTAAGAAAATAATTTTCTTCTTTAGTGGAGGACTCATTCAGATCTTAGGCCTGGGAAGGCAAACTGAATCCTGTTCATTGTGACCAAAGTAAATGTCTGCCTTAAAAAGGTTCCCTTTTGAACAGGACTTCCTTTTGTGGGTCAGATGACCATGACATTAGAGCCTCCTCAAGACCTTGCTGTGAAAACAGATCTTTCTGCTGTTCACTAGCTTCCGCTGTTGGTTGACATATTGCTAACACTCAGAAAGCATTGAATCCAAATCCTTTCTGAACCCAGGTGAGAGCATTTCCAAGAAGGAAGCCAGTCTGTAACAATTTGTGTCTATGTTTGCCAAAAGCATTATGGAATTGCTGTCACCCAACTGAAGAGTATTAGAAAAGTATAACTTTTGGTAGGCATATTACCTCTTCTAATCTTCATCAGTGTCAGAAAGCATCCTGCTCTTGCTCCTCCCCTTGGCTTCAGCTGCCACCAGCAATGTAACTGTAGGTTGTCCGAATAGAAAATTTGCATCCATTCCACAGATGAGGTGCTTTTTGTCTGCCCTTCTGAAAGCTGACCTATATCATTCTGGGGTCTGACAAAGGGTATCGGTGATCACCACTCTGCAAGTAACTGAGGCAAGTTGTATTCACTTGTCATGAGTGAGAGGCTTTCCTCATGTGTAAACAGGAGCACCTTATAGGAAGGCAGTGAGGAAGAGAAGAATCAGTGCAGTCTGATACTTGGCAGTGTCTGGATAGTACAACGGAAGCTTTCAAAGCAGTCAAAATGCCAAAACTGCATCTGCAGGTGGTGTTCACCAATGAGCATTGCAATGACAGACAACAAATAGGAGCAGACAAGGTCTCAGGATGTTTGCCATGTTGATGGGATTGGGAGATGGCTAGGTGTTAGGTGCCTACCCTAACCTTCTTTTGTAGTATTCTCTGCTGCTCCTCACAGTTTTAAGAAGCTGTTCCCCATATGGGAAATCCCAAGGTTTTCTTCTTACCAACAGAACATTTCTTTAAGGCAATAGGAGTTGAACTAGAGGCAAGGTAGGATCCAGTGTCTGGGAGATGTTCTTGCATAGTTTATGTGGTTTTCATGAATAACATACTCATCACATGACATTGTGGTCTGCACCTCTAAGTGAGCTTGTCTCCTGATCCACTTTTACAAATGCCAGATACGTCTTTGGATCTAATTTCTCAACTCTTGTCCTTTCTTTTACTTTATCCTCAAAGTACAGTCATAGAATCAGAATATCCTGAGTTTGAAGGGATCCACGTGGATCGTTGAAGTCCAGGTCCTGTTCCTGTGACAATATGTGAGAGACAATCACTTTTATTAGTTCATAGGCCACATGTGATAGAAATTAACAGTTTAGCATTCTTGTCAGCCAAGAAACAAGGATCCATAACTTTAGGTTCTTTCACTGTTTATGTTCAGTATGAGTTTTCACTAGTTGTTGCTTTTAAACTGTTTTCATGCACCTAGCTAATTAGAATGCTATTCCTAGATTAAAAAACCCACAGATGTGTTGTACAAAAATTACTATTATATACTACCCTATGAATGGAATGATAGTTTTCCCCGTCCTAATTAGTCTGTTTTACAGGTTAGTCATCCACATTGAGGTTCCACTGTTCACATCAGCCATTGGTTTGCAGGTCAGGTGGTTCTGGTGTGCATTGCTATCTTTAATATTATTTTTTTTTAATTAAAGGAAAAATAAAAAATCAAAAGAAAGCTGTGAGCAAGTTTGGATCTTTTTCAGCCACCTTGGAAAATGGAATCCAGCTGTCCCTAAGCTATTATGGACCTACAGGGAAGACAGCAGGTAAAGTAAGCAAATAGAAGATGATATTTGAGAACCATAGCGGGATTTTTTTTCTTTTTTTTCCTCATGCACTCCTTAACGAAATAATTTGTTGTATGCAATTCTGCCTTTCTGAGCGGCTGTTACTACATGGTAGGGAATTTTCAGCAAGGCTCGAGCTTACATTGTCAAGAATATTCTGTGATTCAATTTTCAAAATGGAAGGAGTTTTCCATGCATTTTTGCTTGCTGTGAAAACAGAGCAGTGCAGGGAGAAACTTGCAAGTATTGTTATTAAGTAGCCCAGCAAAATCAGCCAATTAATTTGAGCCAAAGAAAATGTGATTTGCTGAGGAGTCTTCTTGGTTTTCCAAGAAATAATATTTTTGTAAACTTATATAGGTGATTATGGAACTTTCATTTTACTTTAGGAGTTGGACTTTAAGTTACAGTTGTGCAGACATAATGAGGGATTTCTCTCAGCCTTTCAATAAACACATTCAGCAACTGGAAGCAATTGGTTCAGAAAACCGCAGTGAAAATAGCGTCTGCTTTTACCAAGAGCTTTTTGTTTCCATTACATTTGAAAGGCCACTGAAACCATTATATGGGTAAAAGTGAAACCCTTCTCTGATCAGAAAAGAATCCCAGAAGTTTTCAGCTCTTAAAATATGAAAACATTTAATTGAATGCATCTTTGTGTGGACTGTGGCAAACCATTCAACTGTACACTCAGTTTTAATTATTTAAATATATTTTACAAATTAATTACTAAAAAAAGACATTTTAAACTTGAGCCAAGAGAACATTCACAATGTAGTGGACCGCAAAACTTGGATTTTGACATAAAAGAGAGACATGTCTAATTAAACACCTACATGTCAGGTGTGATGTTTAGGCTTTTTCGTATCTGCCATAATCATCCTATTCTACATTAGAATAATCCTTGCCATGTTGAGCTTTAGAGCACTGATAACTGACATTCTTTGATTGTTTGGAGTTTTCTATGATCACTTGCTTATGCCAAATTCCCCCGGGTCTTTGTATCGTAAGTGCTGAGAATAATTCTGACCAGAAATGTTCTGTCTTAGATAATTCTCACATGCCATCCATCACTAATGCCGAATGGTATACCATGAATTCTGCAGTTTCTCTCCACTGGTTGGTTGAATTGGGTGGAAACTACTCTTTTTCCCTGCAGTACTGAAATAGTTTTCTGGAACCTCTTTAACTCTCACTTTTCTTACTTTTTTTTACTTTGTATGTGTTTTGTCTTCCTCTTAGGGAACCTAAGGTGACAAAAGGCCTCAAGCTGTTTTACCAACTTTTTACATCTTTTTTATTTCTTAGTTAAATTAATTTCTTTAAGTTCTGAATTATTCTTTGTTTTCTCCAGCATTACAAAAATTTAGCTTCAGACCACCTTACATTCCAGTTAGAAATAAGCCCCTCATCTCTTTGTCAATCTGTTGCCACTTGAGCACTTGCAGGGCTTTCAATTCTGGGTACTGTAGAACCTCTGCACTTGTTCTTTGTGCCTCGACAAAATTAAAAGAGCACAATTCCAAGTGCTAGAAATCTGAATGTGCGTGCAAAAGGAAGGAAACCTTCCTTAGTCAGACAGGCCTCTGGAATTTACCATCTCTCTCAAGTTTTCTAAAGACACTTTCAGTCTTGATAATCCACTTTTTTTCACTGTTACCCTCAGATACCATGTTCTCATTTTTCAGGGCAACCAGAGTAAAGAAGTAGATGAAATTTCTTAAGAGATCAAGAGCCTGTAACAGCCTCTGTTCCTAAATTTAACACTCTGGGAAGTAGTGTTATCTGAAAGCGAACATGAAGGCTGGTTACAGAAAAGTGTCAGTTAGTTGAAACAAAAATGTTTTACTGAAAATCTAACTTTATATTAATTTTATTTTCAAGAAACTATTTTGAAAGGCAACATGATTACTTCTTGTTAATGTGGTTAGCAGGCTGTTCTAATGCTTGGCCTTTAAGAATTGCAAGAGTCTTACTAAGTCTAGATCATAAGAATCTTTCTGAATAATTATAGCAAAATAGATGTATGTAGTGCAAGGTTGCTGGAGTCAGTCAGTGCTGGATCAGCCCATGATAAAGCATAACAACAGCCATCAGTTACTAGATACGAGACTCAGAATGTTTCCATCTAAGTATTCTGGATGTAAAAGGGTATTTTTAAACTTGTATTTTTTTATTTTTGAGGTGATGTCCAAGTGACAACTTGTGAGAAACAATAGTTTCAAGATGTCTTTTAGGCTAATAAATTGTCAGTCAGTGGAAAGATTTTCTAAACAGTTTTATATATTCAGTCTCTCTATCTGAAATAATAAACTCCCCCACTGAGGTTATTATTTCTAAGGTAAAATTTAGTCTACAAAATCTTTTTAAAAAATAAAACGTGGCCATCTACATTTATGAAACTTAATTGCGTTAAAAAAATTGCTTTTCCCTTCCTTAGATGATGAAAACGGTGATATCTTAGCAAGAATTCTGGACATCCCATCTGTTCATATTCCGACCATAATTCCGACAGAAGTGGCTCCCATTACACCAGCTTTGGGAAAAAAAGATAAGTCTGACAAACAAAAGTCAGGAAAATCTCAGCCTTCTACGAAAGCAAACCGTAGCAAAATAGACCCTTCATCATCTGATGACCTGGTACAGCAAGAAGAAGTAAAGGTGAGAGAATTATCCAATGAAAAGAAACAAACAAAAATTCAAATACATGACCTTATGTAAAAGAAATATATATTCTTCTCAGAGGGCTTTGAGCTGTGCCGTTACAAATTCCTAACAGTCTGTGGTGCTTCTAAGGATATCTTTTACTCTTTCAGTTGTTCTCAGATGGTACATATTGGCAGCTGTTAATGAAGCTAGCCTTTATGACTGCATAGTGTGAAGCAGTCTGTCTTCCATGGTCCATGTACTTTTGTCAATTTTGGCTTTACAGTTACAGCTCTTACACTGCAGATGATCAGAAGACTGGAGCACCTCTCCTGCAAAGACAGATTGAGAGAGCTGGTGAGGCACTGGAACAGGTTGCCTAGAGAAGTTGTTGATGCCCCATCCCTGGAAGTGTTCAAGGCGAGGTTGGATGGGGCTTTGAGCAACCTGATCTAGTGAAAGGTGTCCCTGTCCATGGCAGGGAGGTTGGAATGTGATGGTCCTTAAGGTCCTTTCCACCCAAACCATTCAATGGTTATTAATATCTCATTCACAAGAACTGCTGAATTTTTAGTTTAAACAAGCAGAATTTTTCTGTGCTTTCCAAAACCTGTGTTGGAAAGTCTAACCAAACAGTAAATTAGTGGAGACAGTTTTTCAAAACCTTGCTCTGTAATTTGGTCTTAGCAGCCAATAACAAGCCAGGGACCGGCAATTTGAGGAATTTACTTTTGCCTGTAAGTGAAGTACTTCTGTCACAGTGCAGGTTTTGGATAGGATGAATGACATTTTAAAAGCAGATTCTGAATTTCTGTTGTGAAATAGTATCTAATATCTAGTGGATGAAATAATGCTGTTCCTCTTGTTTCAACATGGATTCTGTGCATATCCACAAAAAGTGCTTCTTACCTAATTTCAAAAGTGTAGCTAGTTATTTAAAGAGCATGAGCATGGGAAGTGATATAAGGAGTTGCCAGCACTCAGTATAACATACAGTAATTATGTGGCAGAAATGAAACCTATAGAAACAAATAGTCCTATCGTTAAAAATCGGTCAGGAGGACTTCTAAGCCAAAAGGCTTTTAACTATTTGGTTTAGAATTACTTCAGATAAAGAGTTCCCATATTAGTGCTTACAGCACCTGTCTGTGAGTCTGCAAGTATTTTGGAGAACAGGATTAGAATCCAAAACGGACTTGATAAATTCACATGGACACAGTCTGTAAAATGGAATGCAATTCAATAAGAATCAAAGTGGTAGGTTCTACAATTACATATAAATAATGAACATGTATCTACAGAATGGATAACAGTTCTGTCAGTTTGTAGTGGGTTAACCCTGGCCAGACACCAGGTACCCACTAAAGCCACTCTCTCACTCTCCCTCTGCAACTTAACAGAGGACAGAAAAAAAGGAAAAACCAGCTAAGGATTCATGAGTTGAGATTACAGCTGGGAGAGGTCAGTTACTGATTACCTTCATGGGCAAAACAGACTCAAAGTGGGGATATTATTTAAATTTGTTACTAACAAGATAAGAGCCAAAGAGTGAGAAATAAAACAATCTTAAAAACACCTTCCCTCCACCCCTCCTTCCTTCCATGTTCTCCCTCCTCCTCCCCAGCAGTGCAGGTGGACGGGAAATGAGGGTTACAATCAGCTGTTGTTTCTGCCACTGCTCAAAGAGAGGAGTCCTTCCCATGCTCCTGTGGGGTCCTTCCCGTGGGAGACAGTCCTTGATGCACCTCTCCAGCGAGTCCATCCCATGGGCAATAGTTCTTCCCAAACTGCTGTCCTGTGGGTCACTCCTCCATGGGGTGCAGTCCTTCACAGATGAGCTGTACTGGCATGGGTCCCCCACAGGGCCACAAGTCCTACCCAGGAAAAACCTGCTCCACCGTGGGCTTCCCTCTCCATGGGCTGCAAGTCTCTGGCAGGACCCTGCTCCATCTTGGGCCTCCCACGGGGTCACAACCTCCTTCATGCATCCACCTGCTCCAGCATGGGCTCCTCCAGGGGCTGCAGGTGGGTCTCTGCACCCCAATGGTCCTCCGTGGGCTGCAGGGGCACAGCTGCCCCACCATGGTCTGCATCACGGGCTGCAGGGGCCTCAGCTCCCCTGCCTGGAGCACCTCCTCCCCCTCCTTCTGCACTGACCTTGGTGTCTGCATTGTTGTTACCATGTTCTCACTCCGCTCTTCCCTGGCTGGAATTCTTTCTGCGCCACAACCTTCTGTTCTTAAATATGTTATCACGGAGGCATTAGTATCACTCCTGATTGGCTTGGCCTTGGCCAGCAGCAGGAATTCCATCCTGGAGCTAGCTGGCATTGGCTCCACTGGACAGAGAAGCTTCTAGCAGCTTCTGACAGAAACCTCCCCTGTACCCCTCCCACCACCCCCGCTACTAAAACCCAGTCACAGAAACCCACTGCACAGTTCTATAGCGAAAGGTCTGAGAGTTGCCATGGATCACAGGCTATGCATAAGTCAACAATGCCATCTTCTGTGAGAAAGGCAAAGACCACATTGAGGTGAATAAAGGGGAGTATAGCCTGCTAAATATGTGAAGTTATTTTCCACTCAGGTGTGGTAGGGCCTCGGTTGAAGTATTGTGTCCAGTTCCGGATACTACACTGCAAGAAAAATACGGGCCACACTGAGAGTTTTAAGGAAAGCATGAGGATTAGAGGTCTAGAAAACTTGACTGGTGGGAAAAGTTTAAAAGATTTGGTTTGGGTTTGTTTGATCTAGAGTTGAGAGACAGAATAGCCTTCTTCTGTAAAGAGCTAAAAGGACACCATCATCTCTTATGCTAGCCCGTATAATCAGCAGAAATAATCAGAAGTAAACTACTTTTCTCTAATATTTATTCAGGTTACCCAGGACAAAAATGTCAGTAAGGTTAATCAAGGTAAAGTACTGGAACAGTTTACCAGGAAACCTCCAACCCTGGAAATTTTTTAAATAGCTTACATTAGAAGTTCTCTGGGTTTTTTACCATTAAAACAAGGAGAAGTAGATGACAACTGAGTGTTATTTGTGTCCTGTTCTGTAACTTCTACCTCATGATCCTGTGACTACAATCTTAGGGTATCGAGAGTAGGCTTTATTACCCAGTAATATTATGTAAAGTAATCACAAATGTATGACATTCTTTATGCTGAAAAACACGTGGAAAAATATCTACCTTTTCCCCCCTATAGTTATATTTCTAAAAAGCAAGTATATGGGGTAATACCAGGACAAATTCTCTCTGTTACCTCTGTCTGCAATCCAAAACTGTTTTCATCTTATGACTGCTGGCACAGTGTAGTCCATTGTCACATAGGTTTTTGAGGGGATGACATTTAAGAATCTGTTGTTATATTTTTTCACAAGTGTTCCAGGGCCTTCAGACATTCCTTAGGTCAACCTCATCTTTTCTAGTCATCAGAAGAGTTTCCACTGCAGAGCAGTGCAAAGAGAATTACACATTTTGACTGTCAAACCTTCCTTCCTGTCCCCTTCGTGAGTCAGTGCTGTATTTGCAGCAGATTGGAAATACAGCTCTGCTAACCTTTTGTGCCCTTTTAATGATTATGGGTAAAATAGGTGATATGCAACTTCAGTAATTATTTCACACTCTTCTGCTTCACATTATCTGTTTATTGTCATCCCATCTTGATGCTATGCATAAGATAGCAAAATGACTCAGTAAAATGAATAAACTTAGGAAGAGTTGTTCTTCAAGGTGAATGAAAGAAGAGAGCATAATCAAATAAAATAACCTAATGTTTCCACTTCAGAGTCTAAAAACACTCAAAATGCTAAATAAGTGGTAGACAGCACATTTTTTAAACAATATATTGTTACAACTGAAATCTGTGGTCTAATTTTTTTCTTTACTCTTTTAAAAGGTGGAATAAAACTAATTCATGTTTCATTCTGTAGATAGAAATGGAAGAACCAGCTCCCCAAATACAAGAGATATCAGATGTTCTTGCTTTTCCGAGTTTGAATGTCTCCTGTCCCAATGGACTTGTATTAAGTTTCCTTGGTGAAAGCTTTGAAGGTTAGTTTTCTGAACCACTGCAAAGTAAGGAATTTAAAAGAAGTTAAAACTATTTATTTCTTCATTAGCGGATTTAGATGTAACTATGATTTTTTTAACATGCTAAGTCTGTCATAATGTCTGTTTTAATAGTATTTGCAACATAAATAGTGTGGGTTTTTTTCAAACAAATATAAAATCTAGCATCACAAGTTGTTGGACATAAAAAATTAAGGGCAGGGAAGCAGTAACCCTAAAATGCCCTTGCGAGTCATGTTGGATAATCAGCTGAATATGCATGTAAAATAGAATACTAAAGAAAAATTATCTAATGCAGTTAATAAATGCGTATATATTGAGGAATCTTGAGTAATAGCAGGAAGATAGTTACGTTGTCTGTATCTGCACCTCCTTTGGAAGTGTATGTACTTAAGTTCACAAGACAAAATTTTAATATTTTGGGGAAGAGTGACAAGAATGATTAAAGCATCAGAAGATGTATCTTATAGTGAGCTCATTTCACCAGAGAACTCAATTTAGTGACCAAAGAAAAGGTCAAAGGGGTAACTGGTGCCAGCCTGGAAGTACAAGGAAAGAGAATTTTGGTGATAGCTTGTAAACACGGCATATAAAAGTATTACAGTTTTCAGGGGCTTGAAACTGAAAAGTAGTACTTTATACTAGATTTAAGATATACTCATTTATTAATGGTAAGAATGATTAACAAAACTAACCCAGGCTATGAATGACTCTCTGCTACTGGATATTTTACAATCAGGTTTTTTGTTGCCTTTCTAAAAGATACAATCAGTTTCAAACAGGAATTGTTTCACAGAAGTCCTTTGATTTAGGCCATCCAGTACATAGACAGGAGACACTCATAATAAGCCTTTCTGCCCTTACTGAATTTCCTTTAGCAGACTGATGTGGTATATAAATACTTAGAGGTTTCTGTGCCTAACATGTCCTTCTGCAATACTTCTATTTTCTACCGTTTTTGAAAATCAGCATGAGGTTAATTTTTGCATGCTGTAAACTCTAGTAAATCTTAGGGGTTTTCAGTCATGCCATTAGGTTTTGAAGCAGACAAATGTGATTTTTTTTGTCATCTAGTCAGTTTTAAATACAGTCACATACAGATGTGATTTAATACCTCTGTACAAAAAATTTGTACAACCCAGAAAATGTGCTCTGACTAATCTGGTATGAAGTAAAGAACATATAGAGGGTTTTCAAATATACATAGTTTGGCAAGGAGCATAAGATGAAATGCTGAATAATTGAGGTGAACAGAGGAATTACAAACACATACATGTAGTCTCTTGACACAATTACCATAATTATACCTGTTGGTATATTCAACACACTGCCACAATTTAAGCTAAAAAACTAACTTGTTCAAGTAGACAAAATATATAACTTAGGTTTCTATACAAATTCAAACTTGGTGAAACTCAGTAACTTTTTTTCACCTTTATGGCAGTTAGGAAGTTCCTCTCACCTAATGTGAGTCTTCCAAAAGTTCAGCATCCATAATAAATCCATCTTCATATTTCCCTTGCTTTCATTTGGAAAGACAGCCACCTTCACAGGAGGATGTAGAATTTCTGAGTAGGTGACTGTTTTGAATTTTTCTCTGAATTTGGAGTCTGTCTCTTACTCTGTGGATGACCAAGTAAGCCAAGGAGGGTTAGTCTTACTCACCTGGAATTGCATACCTTCTGTAGACACCATGATGCTGGCTGTTTAGCCCTTTTTGAATGTGTGCTATGCAGTATTAAGTAATGCAAAGTTTGTTTTCAGATTTGAAAGATGAAGCCACTACCACTGAAGCAGAGAAAGAGGTGGTAAAGGAAAGTGAGGCCAAAGCAGATGAAGCAAAGGAGGAAGAGGTTAAGGAAAATGAGGCCAAAGCAGATGAAGCAAAGGAGGAAGAGGTTAAGGAAAGTGAGGCCAAAGCAGATGAAGCAAAGGAGGAAGAGGTTATGGAAAGTGGAGAGAAGGAGCATGAGGTTTCAGAAGATGAAATAGAGCACAAAGACACTGAAAGAAAAAAGGCCAAGCAGCCTACTCTGGAAATTCTGGTTAGACAGAGTTATCCCCAAAAGGTAAAGAACTCTCAGCTTTATACACCTGTGGCAAGGCAAACAGAACAAGAGGTGTCAAGAGTCATCACTAGTCAAGGAACTGTCATGAAGTACCTGATGGATGGATCTACCCAGGTATATTTAGTAGAATTCATTGTAAGCAGCTTGTGTGTGTGATTACCCTTAAATGTGTGCTCATCTACTGAAATAGAGAAGTGTCCAGATTTTAGATGAAGGAATGAAGTAACTACTGAGTTATGCAGCCACATCAAGACTAAAATGCTCTTTGCTTTGGTCAGTGTCAGAACTTAAGGCACATAGGGAGGTTTAAATATGAAAATTTTAGGCATATGAAGATTTTAGGCAACTTTGGAATTAGGAAATTGCTGAATAGGGTTTTGAGAACTAAATTCCTGGACTTAAGCATCCAAAGTGTGGATTAGTTTGGGGTTTTTGGCAATATGAAAATATCCATGTATTTTTTCAGTCTGAACAGTCATGTGGGATCCAGAAAAGACCTGAACTGTTCTTCAGTCCTGCAGACACCTTTAGGTATCCTAAATTTTCAGGAAAAAAAGACTTTATGTTCCTATATATCGAAGTACCTGCTTCGTTTACATATATTTAGGTTGCCTAGAATTCTGGTACATTTTAGGTGCTATAGGCTAGATACCATCTTTGCAAATACTGTAATTAATCTACAAGCCACTTTTTTTTCAAAGTCTAAGACACTACACGTAGTTAGAAAACAGATGAAAAGAAGAGTCATCTATTTTGATTCAGAAAGTATCAAAATAATTCCTTATTTCTTGGATTTTTTTCTGTCTAAGTAGACCTGTGGTGGTTTGAGACCTCCAAAATCCAATTCCCGAGTCCAAGCCCCCCTCCCACATCTCCCCCCAGTGTGAGATGGGTTTTCCAGACACAACACAAGACTCAATATGGGGGGAAGGGGATTATATTACAATCACAACACAAATAAATATTATAATACATCATATACATGGGGCCCCCTGGTGGTCTAGTGGTTAGGATGCGGCACTCTCACCACCGCGGCCGGGGTTCGATTCCCGGTCAGGGGACTTCCCCGGGCAGATGGAGCTCATCAGCCCTGTAAGGCAATCCATCTAAGAGAAGGTCACTCTAAACAAACCTACAACCTGAGGACCTCACTGCCACTGTCCAAGCTTGCTCGGCCCCAGCAGATGAACCTTAGGATTAAAGGGTGGGCTCAGTTCAGCGCACGCTGTGTCTCACCTAAAAAATCCACTGCGCAGGCTCGAAGGGTTAACGACCTTTCCCAAATCTTCGTTCGCGAAGACTGGCCATGATGACATCATATACATAATCTTAACTATCTCTCCTATGATAAATCAGTATTTACATTGGATCAAATCTCTTCTCCCTCCAATAAAAGTCCAGGAGGGAAGAAGGAAAGATCCTTTCCACCTTCAGGGCAGCAGTCTCTCCTCATCAATGCAGCAGTTGTAGTTGGATCTCCTTCCAATACACACAAGGGGGTCTTCTCTCACCCCTCTGAGCCCTTCGACTCCAAGCAAAGGTTTCTCTTCCATGGACCGCGGTTGCAGGGACAGGCTTGCTTCACCACGTCATATCGCGAAGTACAGGGGTCTTCGTGACGGTCCCTTTCCTCAGGGGGTTTACCTCTGAGTCAGAACGTCTCAGGCAGCTTTCAGTTGAAAGCCTTTGCCTCAAGAGTTCTACCAGAGCTCCTGTGCTCTATCTCAGGCTGCCAGCTTGGCAGCAGCAGGAGGGGGGGCAGGCTACTTCCCCCGCATTCCATCTGGCCATCCTGGTACAGCTTCCAGGACGTCTTGAGCTTCTCAGCTCCTCTCCAGTACTGCTGCATTCCAAGACTCCCCTCAAGTGGGAGTCCACCACCCCTCCTCTCTAGGAGGTTTCTCAAAAGGGGTTTTGGGGGTTTTTGGTTCAGTTCTTACCCCAAAACTCCCAAAACTGTGTCTGTAGAGCTTAGTTCTCTCCCTCTCCATCCGACATCTCTGTGTCTTCTTGCTTGGCTGCATGCTGGCTTTGCTGCTTATTCTTATCTCTTGGCTTTCTGCCACAGCCTCTGTTCACTGCTGTCTCTGCCACCATTCCTGCTGCCCACTCGCAGTGGAGAAAGACTCCCAGCTTCTCAGTTACAGACCTCGGTCCAGTTTAACACTGTTTCTGAGTTTCTATGAGCCTAGCCAGGGGGCTGGGGGGCCATGGCCCCCCAGCGGGGCTCCTACCCCTTCTCCTCGTGGCTTCAGAACATGGCCACTCTCCTCTTCAACTACCTCATCATCCTTCTTTTCCGGTTTGGTGTGATACGTTTTAATTTTGCAGGAGCACTGATTGGGTCAACACCAAGAGAGACACCACCCCCTCGGGGGTTACCATTTTTTTTAAACTCCAGAGGGAAAAAACACTTTTTTTTCTCCCCACCACAAGACCACAACTCCAAGTATAAGTTATTTACCATTTGTTACCATTTGTTACCATTACATTATATGCTAAATCATTCAGCCAGGATTTCTGAGAAACATAACCATTTCAGAAGTATGCAAAGAAGCTAGCTCCTGTATGTCTATATATTCTCAACATATTGTCTCCTGATAGAAAAATGTAGATCTTATGTGTCTAGCATGATTTTAGAGTAGTCTCTGTATAAACAGATTATGAGTACTTCCTTTTTAATATTAACTTAATGTCTGTGAGTCATCAAGAATATATTATTTATGATAAGCACTGAAAAAAGAAGGAGTGGTTAATTCCTTCCAGTAATAATCTCAAGAGTTGTTTCTATATGTTGTCCATTTATTTTCTACATTGTACTGTATTTATAAATTAATTCAGGGACGGTTAGGGTGGCTTTATCTGACACACCGAGAACATGCATGTCAAGGGTTGAGTGTAACGGACAATATGTCTCAGAAAACAGCTATAAGTAGATAAATAACCAAGACTTCCTTTTGTTAGCTATCTTGATGGCTAAAAAATTAACATTAGTCCTAGGCATGTGGAATACCTTAGTGCAGATCAATATGTCAATACAGATGCATTATCACTGCTACCAAAAAAAAAGTCATTAACCTTTGACTATTTAGTCAAAGAATAATCTTTACTGTTTATTTTTACACCTTGTTTGTTGCTAAATAGAGTCCACATTAATTGCATATGTGAACTACAGCAATTAGCACTCCTTTGGGCAATGACTAATGTGATGAAATTTAACAAGTCCAAATTTTGGATCCTACAAGTGGGACAAGTAACACCAGGCACAGGTATAAATGAGGAGAGGAGTGGCTGGAGAGTGCCCCGCAGAGCAGGCCCTGGGGATGTTGGTGGGCAGCAGCTCAATGTGAGTCAGCAGTGTGTGCCCAGGCAGCCCAGAGGGCAAACCACGTCCTGGGGAGCATCAAACACGGCATCATGAGCCTGTGAGAGGGAGAGGAACATCCCATTGTGCTCAGCATTGGTGTGGCCTCACACGGACTGCTGGGTGCAGTTCTGAGACCCAGAGGGATGTGAAGGTCCTTGAATGCTCCCAGAGGAGCGCAACAAAGCTGGTGGAAGGGCTGGCAGGTGTGTCCTGTGAGGAGCAGCTGATGGCTCTGGGCTTGTCTGCTTTGGAGAGACCGAGGCTGAGGATCAACCTTGTCACTCTCTGCAGCTCCCTGACAGGGTAAGTGGAGAGGGAGGTGATGATCCTCTCTCCCTGGGACCTGTTGATAGGACATATGGCAATGGCTCAAAGCTGCTCCAGGGAAGGTTTGAACTGGGCATTAGGAAGCATTTCTTTACCCGAGAGGGTGGTCAGACAGTGGAACAGGCTTCCTAGAGGGGAGGTGAATGTCACAAGCCTGTCAGTGTTTAAGAGCCATTTGGTCAGTGCCCTTAACAACATGCTTTAACTTGGTCAGCCCTGAAGGGGTCAGGCAGCTGGACTGGATGATCATTTAAGGTCCCTTCCAACTGAAAAAGTCTATTTTATTCATGCTTTTTAAGATAGCTTCTTTATTTCTTGTATTCATTCTGAGAGCTTTCACTTTTTTCCCCTCCATCACCCACAGCATTCTAGTGACTATTGCATTTGTGACACATTCTTTAAGATTTTCTAGCAATGTTTGAATTGATTTTAACCTTTAGGATGTCCTTGATTTCTGTAGATTCTGTTTGCTGATGGCACAGTGAGTAGGAGTCCCGACTCTGGTCCTGTCCTACCACCGTCTACAATTCCAGATAACATACAACCATTACCAGAATCAGAGCTTTTACATGAGACCAGGATTAAGAAAGGTAATATTTTTTGGGTTTTGGATAGATGTAAGTTAGCAGGGCTGATGATAGTTAAAGGACATATTTCTTTAGTCTGAAAATTCTGCCAGTATGAAAATGCAATTTTATCTGTACTCAGCTTCTGCACACTGTTATGTTACCTTCATAGCAAATAATTTCTGTCTAACTCCAGATTTCTTTTTCTTCCATCGTGCTAGGACTCTAATAAGTAAATACACTCTGATACATTGGTATCAGTGACTGAACACAAAATCTTTTAAGAGAAATCCTTGTAACTACAATAGTGTTAAAACCTTACTTTTGTGTTACACAATTTTAGTCTTAATATTAAGTAATGCTTCACTCACAGAGGATACTGTATTTTTCCTGTGCAGGACTGAGTTGGACTTGATGATCCTTGTGGGTCCCTTTCAACTCGGCATATTCTGTGATTCTGTGTATTCCAAGGCACCTACGATTGGTCATTATCAACTGGTTGTATGGACTTGTGGTTGGTGGGAATATAGCCACTCTTACCTTATTTTCTTTGGCTGAGAAAGAGCCAAATAAATGTTTACTTCGTACGTCAGAGTGTAGTTTGAGATATCCATCAGTGCTGCTCAGTACACAAAACAATTATGACCTGTCATATTAACTTGTAATTTATTGAAAGTATCTGAATAAAAATTGCTGCCAAAAAGAAAAGGGTCTCAAAAAGAGACTTTTTGAGTCAAGTCCAGTCCTTGTTCTTAGGATATTCCTTAGGGTAACTGGAAAGATGTTTGAGAACAATTCTGACAAACCATCTTCTAATATGCATTCTCGGTATGTGGAATGAGTGTATATCCTTTCTTCCTTATCCTTTATTTATCACTTTTCCACCTTCCCCACCTTTCCTCTCCACTTCTTATTCATGACAAATTTGTAGTGAATAGTTTCATCTCTTTTTGTATTTTGGGTGGGTTTTTTGCTAGATACATACTGTAAATCTTCTAGACTGCTCTCTGAACTATGCTGTTGTCTTTTACCTACACTTAGTTTAAACTTCTTTTCCTGCATATGAGAGACCTGAATTCTCTATAACATTCTTAATAAGATCTCTCCAATTCCCTTTCATAATGGAATTTCCATCCCTTTTCTTCTGATGCACCATAGAATTGTGTTGGCCTTTTTGGTCACTATATTTTCACACTGATAACTTGTAATCATTCTGCATGGATGATGCCTCCAGGTCTTTCTTTTCTTCTACTGTTACAAGCTTAGCTGAAACAGAAATCATTTTTATTATTCTTCACATTAGATTTCATTCTAATAAGCTATATCAAATTCCTATCACTTTAATCTTCAAGCTCATGGGACAATTTTGGCTCCTTTTTTTTTTTTGTAATTCGTTCAGATTTTCTTTTGCACTGATAGGACCTTCCAAAGTCTTGTCATAATCAGATTTCATTGGCATGCTTTTTACCTTTTCTGTGTTCTTAAGGAAACATTAAATAAGGTTAGTTCAGGAGCGTGCCTCTAAGTAACAGGAGTTGTAATTTTTTTTCTAGCCTGTTAAATAGTTCTTCTTTCAATTCTGTCAAAACCAATCCTCACAATGATTTTATCTTTTGCCTTAGAGAATACCAAGTCTGATACAAAAATTTTTTATTTCTGCAGGAAAACACAGTGGCAAAAGCATTATGTCACACCCAACCAAGGATGAGTTGTTTGAAAATACTGTTCAGGATCTGGTTAATTCTGAGGAACCTAAGGCAGGAACCTGGATAACAACAACTCCATTAGGCATTCAAGTGGGCACTGAGGGTGGAAAGAGAATGGATCTGAAGCCGCTCTTCATGTATCAGGCAACAGACCCAGCTGATGAGACGGTATAACTGCTTTTGTGTTATTATAGCACTGTCTACTAAGCCAAGACACAGGGCTGCCATCATATAAGTTGTACGATTTGAAAACAAATTATTATTTGTTATATTTATTACTCTGTTACAAAGGCAAAGTTATAGATTTTGAAGAAAATGTGATTCCTCAGTCTCTGAAACAGATGAAGTTGCAGTAGTCTAGCTTCTTCAGAGTTTCAGTGCCTGATGCCTTTTATTGTTGTTGCTGTTACAAGTATCACAGTGCTAATATAAATGAATGTTTCTTCATTCTTTCAGGTTATGACTGTACGAGATGATGAAGTGATAATTGTTGAGAAGCTGGATGGTAGCAGAGTAGTAGATCATGCTGATGGTACCAGGATCACAACTTTTTATAAAAAATGTGAATGCCGTTTTGTACCAGATGGTGGTGAGGAAACAGGTAAAATCAAATGGGGAGCACTTACCTCTGCTATATCTTGTGAAGCAGAAAATTGTCAAAATACATACTAAAGGCAGCTTGTACCTTATACCTATAGCCTAGATAACACAGCCACTAGTACAGTCCAGGCTTAGTTTGTCTCCTATTCAGTGCAAAAATTGTACTGTTGCAAGCAAGCAAATTTCCTTCTTTTCATATATATAATTACATGGTCCTCCTTTATCATGAGACCACAGTTCTAGTTGTCCATTGCCCTCTCTCCATCTGCCCTAATATTAGCAAGCAAGATGATTTGAGTCTTAACTGAAGAAGTATATATAATGACCAGGGCATCCTTATATTTTCCATGGAAGCCATGGACTCGCCAGCCTTGGAGATACTGAATATCTGGATATGGCTGTGGAAAAGGCCATGCCTAGAAAAGTAAAACTTATATTTCCCTGAAATAAGTGGGGCTAGTGGTCATCTGTGTTTATTCTGGCTGGTGTTGTATTCCATATTCTTCGTTCACTTGCTAGACAAGTCCTGTCCTCCTTAATTAACATGAAGTGTACTTTTACTGTGTAGGCGTCTGTACTGTTCAAACACAGTGGGAAGTTCTGGTTCTGTGGGAAAAGAGCGTTATTGAGTTAACAGATAATGTTCAGGAACATCGTCTCCCTGTGGGATTTTAAAAATCAAAACAACTTTGAACTGATCTGTCTCTTCAATGGGAAGTCAATGACCAGATTAAAATACCTGTTTGATTTGTTTTCCAAGATTTAATAGGAATTTCTTCACGTCTTTGAGCTTGTATTACAGGCACAAAGAATTTCAGTGATCCAACTTGTATGTTACAAATGTCCAGATCATTACGATTAGTAGCATACTTGATACTTTAGAGTGTACTTTTCTGGCCAGTCACAGATGGCTACAAAAGTTTTTGGTGTTGAATTTTCCTGTATTGAGTGCACTGTCCAGAATTGTGTTGTGTGTTGTTTACATAAATTATGTAAAATTTATAAAATCACATAAAATTATGTGATAAAGGATACCATGAAGTTTATGAGAGTCTTGTACTGAGGAGATAAGGATCTAGCACTATGAGAGAAAAAGCAAATTGAATCTTAAGACATTTCCGTGATTCATGTGCTCCTGTATCATTGTTCTGTATTAATTCTTAGATGAACCCTCAAAAACCACCCCAAAGAAGGTGAAGTGTGTGCGAGTAGAGAATCCTGAGTTTGCTACTGTTATAACAAATTGTGAGGATGGTACCTGTTGTACCATCTTTGGAGATGGAACATCTATTCTAGCAAAGCCACAGGGAACGTATCAGGTGGGAATTATTTTTAGTTTGTGACAGTGAAATTTTAGTTTTGTGTTCCAAGTTCTCTGCCATTAGCAGCTCTCACCTTGACTATTTTAACTCCCTTCTTTATAGACTTCACAAATCCTATGACTCTATCCCTTTCATCCTCTGCCAATATTTAAATATTTACTCACAACTGTGTAGTATGTTTAAATCACAGTCTTAAATTTCCTGAAGTAAAATATTACAGAGACTAAGGTCAGTCTACCTCCCAGACCTCATCTTCTTTCTTTCTGTCCCTTTAGTTCCTCTAAATTGGATGATTCAGTATTAAAGGTCTGAAAGATCTCCTCTTGATTTGTGTCTATTATTCATTTTCATGGTACCTCTAAACTAAAGTTTTCATCTTTCAACTGAACCTCTTCCTTTTTGCTGTCATAGGTTTTACCCATCAAGACAGGCTCTCTTTTCATTGATGAAGATTGCTCAGCAATTTATACCCATGAAGTTTATGATTTCGTCAGCAAGAACGAGGAGAAACAAGCAGGGAGGTACATTATGAAACACACTTCCAGCACTATTTGTGAGATGGTGGATCCTGAAGGAAATACTTTCAAGGTAAAATACATGGAAGAAAACAAATTTCTGCATTTTAACTAATTTTGTCTT